CATTTTGCTTTTCTAATGCCTTTTCTCTCTTTTATTCATCCTCTCTCCCACTCATCCTAGGAACAATGAAGAATTAGTTTGCCCCTTCTTCTCGGCAGCCATCACTTGTTTATTTACTCAAAGAAGTATTTAAGTAAGGACAAGAGAAGAAAACCACTTCATTCCAGTGCTGCAGATTGTGAAAACTGTGGAAAACAATGATTGGAAACAATGGTAGCACATTACCACAGAAGTATCCATGTTATTTACATGTAGGCAGAAGATTAGGACACCAAGTCCTGTGTTTATCTAACTGTGATAGATCTAATTACTATTTGAATTATATTTTTAAAAAAATCTTTATATATAAACATATTTTAAAAGTTGAAAAAAAGTTTAAATTTCATTAAATGAACTAAACAGAGTTCTACAGGGAAATATTAACTGGAAATTGCAACATGCCCTTAAAAGACTAAACTTAAAGAAACTTGAATTTCAGATGTAAACTTGATCAGTCCTTAATCTGGTTCCAGAAGTTGATCACATACTCTCTCACCTGAAGTGATCACCCAGTTAGAAGACAGGTATTTTGAATTTCTGAATGTTTTACAGAATCTTAACCAAAACAATGTCTTTTATATAGAAAACCAAAGATTATGATATTTATTTGCTACTAAGTACTAAGAGTACTTGTATTTTATCCATATTGCAGATAACTGTTGAACTGCTCAGAACTGAATCACTTACCTTATGAAAATAAATATATGTTTTTTATGGCTATTTTCCTTATTCATTCTCTTTCAACACATAGTCTAATTGGTATGAAAAAGACAGTCTTTCCTGATGTTTTTAATTTGATCAACTTTATTATTTTTCCCAGTACGGACAAAATCCAGGCTCAAATATTTCAGTAGCAAAATGACTATAAATTTCAATAGAATGTTTGTGAATGTCATCAGTGAAGTTACTGAAATAAACTTGGTAAGCTGATTTTTTTTGCTTGTATAGGTATATGATTTTGACAGCTGTTAACAGGTTGCAAGAAAAATATTCCTCTTGTCCTAAAAACACTCTGGCTTACTATTTACATCACAGTTCAGCATATGCAAAGGTAGAATGAATGTTGGATAGCTTGATAAAATATGGTAATAGGACATATGAAATAAGAATTTATAGAGTAGGATCTGCACCTGTGTTCATCTAGAAAATGTTTTCTCATGATAAAGGCCTTCAGGACTCTCTATGCACAGAGTAATTTCAGTCAGCTCAATAAAATCTAAACTGAGTCATGACATAAATAGATTGCTGAAATGAAAGCACAGGAAAAAAAAACCACAAACAAACCACTTGTATAAAACAGGTATTAACTAAAGCTAATTTAATTAAATATAATCAATATATCAATAACTGGTTTTGATCCTGATTTGAATGAAACTATCTGAATCTAGCTTTTTCTTTGCAGCAGATAACTATTTTCATCACCTTGGTACAGTGACATAAACGATTGCAGAAAAATAGTAACGGAAGATTGAGGTTTAGACTGTAGCAAAGGGGATTGATAACTTTTCTGAAAATACTATGTGACTGTCAAGGCTTAACAATTTTAGATTCTGCAGAGATAATCTATAAATAAATGTCCCTTGACCTCTCTAACATTCCAATTTTTATAGAAATGCATTTCTTTTTGAGAAAAAACCCACGTAATTTTAATATGCAAAAATTGCATACTGCTCTAGGATTAAACTTTAATGGCTTGTTTTTTGAAGAGTATCTTAAGCTTCCATGAATTTCAGCGGGATTTAGTGGTTAATCATCATTTTAAAACATGATGGTAAAATATTTCACTGTTTCATAAGTTACTAGATTTTCACAACTGAATTCGCTACCGACTGATTTCAAACGGAAATTTTTAACAGAAATAAAGTAGAACGCTAAACTTTTCTTAATGCAGGAATCTGAAATCTGCCTCACTGAAAAACTAAACTTTCTGCCCACTGTTTATGTTGTCACATATGAATTAAGACACTGGATGGGAGAAGAAACTTGTAAGACAACAGGAACTCCAAAACCTTTTCCCCACGCAGTGTCATTTTAAGGTTTGTGCAGTTGTATTTATGTATTTGTGTGCCATGTTTAATCTGTTATTGCAATAAACTCACCTTTTCCCCTATAGAATGTCTCACATTTCTCTGACAATTTTCACGTAAAGAGATGACCACTATACCAAATTGAATAATGTCTCAAAATTGGCATTAAACAGAACATGCAGTGTTTGAAGTAACAGAACTACATCATACCTTATTATCAAAAGTGGTGACAGAAAGTTTCTTTTTTATATATATACACCCATGTATATTTGTCAATTAGTTGCTGGATATTTACTGCTACATATTCGTGAGGCAATCAGAATTTTATGAGAATCTACCACGCTAGGGAGAATACATTCTTATATGGTTATGGTTCCTACATCCTTCTGACAGGCCTTCCCAGCAACTATTGGGGAAAAGTAAAATCCAGGGGATCATGATGATTCTAATTTTACACTTCGATATCAGAAATATTTTAGCTCCAACAAAGATAAGAAATGTAATTCTGTCATTAAGTCACATACTTAAAGGTCTTCTTCAATGCAGTCTTTCTATGTTTATTCAATGAATTATAATGAATTGCAAGATATACAGTACAACTAAATCCTCATTGATTTATAGTAACAACTTTCAATTGTTAAATAAGTCCGTTATTCAATACATCATCAATGATAAATAAAAAATGCAGTAGTTTTCTATTTCTTTTGCTTTAAAAATAAATTCCTTTTTATATTTTTATCATATGGTTTTATTCAGTTGTTGGTTAACATACAAAATCTCTGTGAAAGTTATTTTTGCTGGTATATGCATGTGTTCAAGCGAATAGTTTGAATTTTCGTTTTTCTTTTCCATTTTAAATTTTTGCACAAACAATTAATTAATCCTCACAACATCCCTGTGAGGTAGGTACTTAGGCTGTATTAAAAAAGCAAAAAAAGGATCCAGAGAAATTCACTGATTCAGTAAAGCCAAAACTAAGACAGTAACAAGGCAGTTGTACTTCTCGCTCTGATTTGAGCTATGAAAATACACTGCCTCTCACCATTTTCAGTAGCTTCCGTAAAACTCCTAAAATACTTCGTATGAGTGTCACATTGGTCATTGTCAACAGAGAAAGATATTTTTCATGAGACAGTAATCATTCTGTACACATGTAAATTTCATTGAATAATGTCCTCATTGCCCAGATAAATATTAACAAGTAGCCTTGTTGCATGAAATACTTGCAAACGTCTAAAAATTCAACCATTACAAGAATAGAAATATATTAAAAAAAAAATATATTTTAACAATAGAAATACATGTAATGGTTACATGGCTTTAAAAAGTCAATAACTGTGTTACTTTGACCAATTCAAAAGCACATGTGCTTCTGTAGGTACTTTACGTATTTTAAAGAAAAATATGCTTATATATAGTTTTATTGATTTGCTAGTACGATTTTATAATGGATATACTCATCCTCTGTCATGATAAGTGGTGGGTGACACAAAAAGCCCATTGACAGCAGAATGTTTTTATATAAATTGCATGCATATTCTCTTCTTGCTTATCAAAGGAACAAATATATTAATTGTAGGAAAAGACTCATTTACAAGACAAAGTGAAGCCTCCTCTAGCTCCATGCCAATATAAATGATTTGCAACTGATTACATCCATCAAGTTTAATATAAACCATAGTAATCTGAAAAGAGTAATAAGATGGAACAAGATTTAATAACATACAAACCAAAGTTAATGTTTCCCTGATTGTTTCCATTAACTGCGTAGCTATCTCAATTATTATTTTTATATATACATTATGTAACTTAATAGCAGAAAAGTTAAAAACACATAATACACAGTACATTAAATAGAGGACTGTGTTGACCGAAAGGTTATACATTATTGTTAATTTCTGGATTATTTTTTCTTTTTCAAAACATAGTCAGCCATATATATCTCAGTTTAAAATAATCCTTCACGTATTTAAGTTTTCATTATGCTGTCAGTATGGCCCCTCTGCAATCCAGGTGCATTTAAAAATAAATAAATAAATTTCTATTTTTTTAAAACACTCTTTTATCAGTAGCACTTTTAAGATTACAGAAGAACACACAAAGCAAAAACTTGCTTGAAAGCAAATCTTATCTTTCTTCATGTAAAATCAAAAGTCCAGATGACAATAAGCAGAATAGTAGGAATGGCAAGGAAAAATTGTCATGTAAATGCAAAAGCAATCTCTGGTAGCCTTCGAAATGGGTAATACTCAATACTTATATTGGTCATAAACCTGGAATAGTGACAGTTTATTTCCTTTTTATTTATCCAGTTATTGCAGCATGTATAAACCAGTAAGAAAAATTATATTTTATATACAACTAAATAACTCAAAAGCAGAAAACACAAAGTTGGTTCATAAAATCATGCTTTCATCCTGTCAAATTTAAAAGTACACTTTGCAAAAACTCCTTTGAGAATTCAAGCATTTGATATGGCTATGTGTATAATGTCATAAATTTTTTTTTTATCTCTTCTTAAAGTGGGTATAACACGTTATGGACAAATAAAAAAAAACAATTAAAATTGGCATGGGATGAGTAGTTTGAAAAAGACAATTTTTTTGATTTACATGTTCACTGAACAAACTGGATGTATGGCAAACTGACATTTTTAAACTGGAAAATGTTATGGAAAAATAATGAGGCAACAGAAATAAACACGAATTTTTCATTGCTGAGTTTTTTGTAATCAGCTGCTTTAACTTGAGGGCAATTTTAAGACCAAAGCAGAGAACTATTGTATTAGAATATAAAGATTCCCCCACTTGCAGTCAACAGGGTTTTTCTTATTAACATCTGAAGAGTTGACACTGACCCTGAGGCTCTCTTTGTTAGTAGGACGCTGTTAGTAGTAGCAGTAGCAAACATATGGGTTTGCCAGTAACAACTCACAATTTGTGCATAGTTGAGTCTTCGAAACTGAGCAAATTTGCTCTCAAAATCTCGCCAGCGCTTGCTGAGCTGTATCAGGGTTGGCTCCACTGCTTTTGCAGCCCCATCCTTAGACAAGCGTTCAGCCTGCCTGTGCACCGCATTCAGATCTTCCTTCTTCTTCTCCAATTCTCCATCAATCTCCTAGTGAGCAAAACCAATACAGGGCCCAGGACAGTTAGCTAACTAGATCAATCAACTTAAAATTAGCAAAATACTTCTGTCAGAAATTCCATTTCCATTGTATTGTTACAATTAAAATTTACAGCTGCCATGTCTTATTTTGCATTTAAACAAAATAAAAATAACTGAAATTGAAGAACCTTCTTGGAAATTGGCTGTAGATATACTAACAGCTAGTACACACTGAAAACTAGTTTGCAAAGGCCAACAGTTTCCAATTCCAGGTTCTTGCTAGTACACTCTGATGGGCAATTGGAGAAATTATTTTCTCGAGAAGGATCAACATATTCAGGACAAATAGTGTTTGGACAGCTTACAAATATATTATTTGACTCTTTAATATATTACTTAACTCCTATTTTACTCTGTGGGAAACTCAACAGAGAATGAAGCAAAGAAAGACGATGCAAAATAAACTAGGAAGACCTTTGACAGTATGTAAATAAATCTAGAGTTTGACAGTGACATATGAATATGTTTTGATGAAAATGAATGTGCTAACATGAGACAGAGGTCATCCATAAATCGGTAAGTCATTTGTTCATCTGGAACAAAGATACATAAAATCAATTAAAATTTTTACTAGAAAACATTTGATGCTTCTTAATACATTACACGCTTTCCATATTACCAACAAAAAATGTATTTAGTGTGTTTTAAATTATTTATGTAACATTCTGTATAACATACAAATACAAAATCTAGTAAAACAAAGAAATGTCACTTTGAACACAGATAATTACAGTTTGGTTTACTGTAAATAGAAATAAAGAACTGAACTGATAACTTTTTGTATCTGTTTGAAAAATCGTTCCATTTGCTGTCTGCTAAATTGATAAACTATCACTTAAAAAGATCTACCATGGCTATCCCAAAACAATATTACCTTTAGCTTCTGCTCATCTTTGTGGTCTGGTAGACTGGCTAACTTTTTCTCAATATCATCCAGCCATGTCATTAGGTCATCAGCCTGCCTCTTGTACTGATACCATTGATGAGAAATCTCTAAAGCCTTTTTTCTTCTTTGAGATCTCAAGTCCTGTTCACAGTGCAGACATTATTAGAATATGAATTAAAGGCTTATAAAATAGGAATTGGCATGTGGTCACACGGAAGGGGAAAAAGGTGCAAAAGGCCATGATTCGTTTTAATTAATCATCAGTATTTAAATCAAGTATATACGTATCTGAACGCAACATATTTTCTTCAGTTTGCCAGTATATAAGTAACTGAACACAGCATATTTTTATTAGTTTAACTGATTACTTTTTCTTTTAAAGGAAGTTACCTACTTCAGGGTTTTTCACATGTTGAATAAACCACTGAGTCACCAATATTCAGAGAAGTTAAGACTCTTACATAAATGTCAATATTTTATATAAAACGCTTCTGCTCAGAATACTTAATGGACAGATGGAAACACAACCCACTTAGTATCTAGCCATAAGTGGGCTCCCTGTGTTTTGCGGTGTCCTGTTAAATTCTAGCCTGCATGCAAACTCTGTAGCTATTCAAAAGAAAATCATTTCAATGCAGAAATGAATGCAAAGACAGGTTTCCTTTTTCTAAATTAAATACCATTTACATAACAAATGTCTTGTGTTTGCGACTCAGTTTTATAAAAGTATTAAAACCTCTCTTTAACAGGAAGTTTAAAAATGTTCTATTTCTTATAAATATTATTAAATATGCTCCATTTGCATTTGCTTTAACTGCTTAAATTCACTCATACAGAATTCAGAAAATATTTTCAGAATTATAACTTCTTATTAAGAAGTAAGTTAAAAAATTACTGGTATATTTTATATAAAAATACTTAGATGAATTTAGCTCAGCCATTCTTGAATTTTATTTGACAAGGTTGAATGCCTTAACTGAGTCACCCAAAGGGAAATGTATCCCTCCACTCCATATAAATAGGCAGTAAGGATCTGGTCAATAGCATAGTTCTAGAAACACTTTTTTACTTTCTCCTCCATAAAAATTATTAAGTACTTCCATTTAACTTGTAACAGTCAAAGACACACCAAATGGATTTAAAAGTTTGTTGACAAAATAATGATATATTCCAGCTATTCTTTTACTGAATTCACACAGTTCTGCAAAACTGTAAAAAACAGTATGAAAACCACAGGAAAGGAAAGATGTTGTTTAAATATAAGTAATAATAAAAAGTAACCATTTCATGTCTCCCAAGCCAAAACTAACTTAACAAAAATTTTCAAAAGAAAGGAAAATTCTGCTGGCCAATAAGATGAAAAATTCTTCTACAGTAGCCAGAGCCTACAGCTCCAGGTAGGTGACCAAGGTGACTTTCCAACTGCAAGATTCTTTCCTCCTCTACTTCTATTTTTTCCTGGAAAGACAACACTCACAGTTACAACTATTAGCTTGTCCAAATAGGTCTCACTGTGGATGTTTCTGGGAACATTATCATACAGATATAACTCCAGGAGTGAATTTCGATATGTGATTTTGTTTTTCAGCCTTTTAGCTGCCAGGTGTATTGATATTACCTATTTTAAAGAGGCTGAAGCCACTTTTCTCACCAAAAGAGCACAGCATGTAAATCTTTTACTAAAGGATAAAACAACTTACTCATTACCAGAAATGTGTTCTACAATTGAAAATATAAGTTTGTGAGAACTGATTCTAACTAAAGTCTTGACTGAAGGAGACATAAAACATGATTACTGTGTTAAAAAAAAGGAATTATTATCAAAGAAATCATTGTTGTCCAACTGGCAAACACAGTTGTAACACTGAGGAAAAAACAGTACTTGTTAAGCAGGAGATTTAAAATGTCTTTTCCAAGGCATCAAGAGAAGTATATAAGAAAATATGTTTATAGCCAAATAGTTTTAAATTACTCATCTCTAAACAGTAATGAAGATTCATTTAATTTAACAGAACAATGCCCCGAAATGAAGAAAAATTAGTTTTAGTAACATGTGCTTATAATTGTAGCTCCTATACCTTGAGAGCATTATGTTTAGTCTGCAACAGCTGCTGTTTTATCTTTATTTCCTCCCGTTTTCTCTCATCTGTGATTCTCTTTTGAAGCGTGTCGCCCCTTTGCAGCAATTCTTTCACTGTGCTCTCGTCATCTTCACTCTGATATAAAAAAAAAATAACAAGTATAATGGGCATTTTAATCTAATTATTACTTAAGTACTAGGAGATACAGACATATAAAAACTACCCTTCCTCTGCTAAAGTAATCATCTAACATCTACTTGCAGTTCTATATAGAAGACCAAATAGCTTTTACTTGTTTTCTGTAACATACGTAGACACTTCAGGTATACAAGTAAAACAGCACTTGAAAACCCGCAGATATTTGATATTACATTTTATGCAGCATCCAGGATAATAGGATGAAAAGATTAAAGGTAAAAGGTAAAATATATTTTATCTTGAAACAAAAGTAATAGAAACATCTAAAATATTCAAAATCATTGTCAGCAGTGACTGAAATTGCCAGTATTGTTACTTTTAATTTTATTTTATTTCTCTCTCTTTTCCAGGATTGCGGTATTGAGGCTTCACTCCTCTGGGATTACTAGCCTGGGCCAGGACTGGTGTCGGTCGGTGGGTGGTGAGTAATTGCACTGTGCATCACTCCTTTGTATATTCTATTATTGTTTCTATTATCATTCTTGTCATTATTACTTTCAATTTCATTTTATGTCAATTATTAAATTGTTCTTCCTCCCTCAGATCAGATGTGGTGACCCACTGAATTTAAGCATGCTAGTAAGGAGGCCATGTAATTCCTGACCATTTCATATACCATCACAATGCTAAACAGCTATTCTGGCAGGGAAAACTATATCCCTAACTACTTTCTACATAGAAGTTGAATCTGTGCCACAGCTTCTGCTAGTGTATCTCTTGAGCCACACTAAACATTTTATGTAAAGAAAGAGACCAAAATATGGTCGAGTAGTGGAAACTGCCCTGTCAAACTTGATTCACTTAGAATTTACCATTGCAGCACATAGAGCCTTAAATTTTAATTTTCCTGGGGAAAAAAAAAAAAAAAATAAAATAGAAAAAAGGTCCTGTAAAGATTCCTTTCAGTATTGATACAAAGTATCTATCTTTGAAGAAGAATTCCTTAAAAGAAAAAGAATATTGCTTGTAAATAAATATATATTTGATTTTGCTGAGGATTTACAAAGAGAGGGTCCTAAAGATGAATCTCTGTTATTGCATGGTCAAGAAGGGTCATTCCCCTGAAAAGCACTCTAGAGAAAACACACCACAGTGGCAACAGTAGCAAAGCGCTGTTTCCTCCCCCCGCCCCTAATATGCATAAACATTTTTACTACTTGCAAAGAGCAAACATAAATAATAAAGCTTACCACAGCCACAAAAACTCTTTACAATAAATGGTCAAATCAGATCTGTTAAGAACTGATTGGTGAAGGGCATTTCTTTCAATGATCATTGCTTATCAATTGTTTTTAGTCAATGTCTTCTTTTATTATATTGCCCATTTAGATACGTCATTTGGAGTTTTCTTGGTTTTTATACTCTACAGAGATTTTAACACTTGTTCCTTATTCTGTAATATCATTGGTACTAGTATAGCACCCGTAGAAAATATTCCTGTTTTGCTTAGTGTTTTCATAAGGGTCAAAAAATGTTTTTCTTATAAACTAACAATTTACTTATCACTAAAACTTTTCGTTAATGCTAACTTAGGACTTTTGATTTTATAATATACTAGCTCAGTAAAATTTTGTCAAACTCATATCTAAAGATCCTAATGCAAATATGGAAGGTTCTAATTTTCACTCAATTTTTTTCATCTCCCTGCCTACTTCACTCAGACTTCTATTTCAACCAAATTACCATATCTTTATTGAAGTCCTCCTCTTTCAGATTCACCCCCTGCTGAATTTCAACCTCCAGTGGCTCAAGCAATTTTTGTATATCGAAATCAAATTGCTCCAATTCCTTCAAAGGAATGAAGGGCTAAAATGGGAGAAATACAAAGATTATTTATTTAAATCACATATTTAATAGTTTTGTTAGAAACATAAATGAAGAGAGACATCTGTTCTATCTTGTATTGCTAAAACAATGTTAGACTTTCCATCATGTGGAAAAATATCTACACCGTACAACTCAAAGTACCCAAAGATACAACTAAAGACAGGTATATAACAATAGTGTAGAATTTTCATATAAGAAAACATAAGAATCCCATGGTGAGTGAAAATTAAAAAAATATATATATTCTCACATTTGTGTGTAAGAATAGGTTTAGATAAACAGTGTAACATAAACATTTGTTTAAAAAATTAAGTGGTGACACTACTTGGCTAAATCTGTTTTTTCAGAAATTACTCATACAATAACAAACAATCCATTCAGATGAAAAACCACCTACTACTACGAATTGAGAAAAAATTCATGATAATTTGTTCCAGTGTTTTGAAATCATTGCTCTCTCACAAAGAATTGCAAAAATGCCAGGTGAATTATAAAAACCAAAAGACAGATAATCTTGGTATAAGATATTCCCTTAACAATATTTTGTATCATGTTAAAAGAAAAACAAAAAACAACAAAACTTCACTAAAAGAGCTTGTGTTTCAAAAAAGCCTCAACAAAAATGCAGGACCAAAAACCTCTTAATCAAACAAAACAGACACAATTCCTCCAAAATGAAACACAGTATAATTATGGTGCTTTAACTTAGAGTTCAGTTTTAAACTCTAAAACAAGTGCCACTTAATAATACAACACCCTTTATCTACCTAATACCTGAGTGTCTGTGGATAGTTTAAGGTACAATATGTAACATACTTATTAAGTGCAAAAGATCGAAAGAAAATCTTTTCTTCTCTCAGAGCTTTAAATGCAAGAACAAGCAACAAATCCTTGATGATTCTTGCATAAAATTTAGATTTAAAGGTAGTTAATGCTTTATGATGTTACAGGAACTCTTGGACATACAACTGTCTTTTTCCTAAGACATAAGCACTTTATATTCTAATCAGTTCTCTTTTACTCTTAGCTCCAGTACAATCGGTAGTTATTATAAAAGAAAATTTTGTGATGAAGATGATAACCATCAAAGTTAATCAGCTAAACAAGAGAGACTGGACATCATCTATTCTCAGCTAGTCCACAGATGACATGGGAGAATTAGGGTAAAAATACCTTAATTGTATCTGGTTGATTGTTTTAATGACAAAGATTTTGCGTACTTACGAACATTAATGGAAATATAACAATACACAATATTTACAGAGAATAATACTGTGTTCAAAATTTTTCATCAAGAAGCTCAGAATTACACTCATCAAGTGTTTCAGCTGAGGTAGAAATAATACTAAACTACATAGTAATTTATTCTCAAATGCTCTGAAGGATGTCTTCAAAAGTACTTAAATGTCACTAAAAGACAAATCAACTAATAAAACTGGAATACAAAGTTACTAATCTCTGACAAATGCTAAAAACAATAACAAAAGGGAAAATAAGGAATGTGGTTCAAAGACCACTTGAAAATGTTAAATCTCATTTTAGTACGCTATGATTATTCTGTTAATTAAGAATGCAATGATTACATACTACCATTTGTTGACTTCACAGATCATTTCTTATTTACTTCACTGTTTTACTGATAATTGTTAGTATTTGAAAAATACAGCTAATTTGAAAACAGATGAGAATTGATTTAAAATAGATTGTGAGATCTTACCATCCTCTTGAATAATTTTTGCAGTTATTCATTGTTATTCACTGAATGAATAATTTTACCTAAGTATGAAAACCCCCCAAACACTTAGGAAGTGTTATATCACCCCATAAGAATAATAATTTTTCAGTCTATGAAGCTGAAATCATGACTAAGAGAAGTGCAGTTACCTACTTTACACAGGTGAATGAAACAAGGCACCCAGAAAAAAAACAAAAGAACCCAAACACATTCAGCAAGTCAGTAGAACCGCCAAGAATTCAGACAAGCTTTTGTCTCTCTATCTTACGCAATATCTGTAACTATAGATATCTTTTGTGAATCATACTCTAGCTCTCTGTTCCCCAAGGTCCTGGAAAAGGTCCTCTAAATTCTAATTTACCGTTCAAATTATGTGCTGAAATTATTTCTCTCATCTTGCTAGGTACATAGTGTATAAAGCTTAGCAAGGTATTGCCATTCCAGCTCATCTTGTCTATACAATCATAAATGGGAGAACACCTGAGAGAGAAGTTTGCCAGGTGGAAGACATTTGTAGGTTTTATTCTGAAGAGGCTCCATCTTGATAAGCATGTTTTCCTTCTTCTTTGAGTGAGCCCACAACACAAACTCTGCAAACAATTAACCCATGATAAACCATCTACGGGCAGCCCCGTTGTTCCCTAAGACAAACAACAATTTCACACAACCCTATCAAAGACTGCATCAGCCCTGTATGCTTACAGTGTTGTGGAAGTGCAAGCTAAAACAGAGAAGGAAATCCAGACTGATATATCCAGAGAAGGAAATCCAGATAGCAGACGTTCAGAATAAAAATCTCACACAACACAGTTGTTTGGCCTTTGTGCCAAGACATTCTCTGTCTACAGCTTGTACTTCTGTAAGAGGTAAGTGAGAAACACACTGGGACGTCTGAAATACTACTGATGTTCAATAGGAAAAAAAGAAAAAAAGATGATCTTTATTCATAGGACATATTCTTTCTGTTCCAGAAGTGAAACCTAAATAAACTCAAATATCCATAAAGAATATGCTGGTTACACAGGGTATTGAGCCCTGTGTAAACCCCAAACAACTAATGAAAACTATGTCTCTTTGCTTAGGCTTTTTGCAAAGCTTGTTTCCAGCTCTGCCACTGATCCTGTGTGCATTCATTTCTGGTGCTGTTACACTAGCTAGCAAGAGTTAAGATCGGGATCCGTGCATTTCCATTATCCTATATACCAACCTGTACGGCTGCCTGCTTTAATCTGCCGAATAGCTCTCCACAATAAAGGCAGCAAATACAATGGAGAAAGTAGGCAGTTTACACCCTCCCTCATTTCAGTTCAGAAGTCACAACTAAAAATTATCTAATCCATATTGAATTCAGAATCAGTAGTCAAACTCATTCTACGGATGAGTACAATCAATACTGAAGTATATGAATGAAGCTGAAGTATAATCAATACAATCTGTGTGTATCTATCTATGTGTATCTCCAACCTTGATGGGTTACTACCTCGCAGGAAAAGACTGGGTGCATTTAATGAAAAATTAGCTCCCCAAAACCAATCCATATTAAAAAAAAAAAAAAAGGCTACTCACACTTTGAGAAGATTAATAATCTTACCAATTCTCAGATGTTGCTAAATTTTTATAAGTTAATAAAGCAATAATTGTTATGTTCATATAAAGTCAGCAAACACTTCTAATTGTGTTAGTGAAAGACAAGACCTTAACGTCAAAAAACTCAAACCTTCACACTTTTAAAAAAGAAATATTCTTAAGATCTACATTTTTTTTCCTTTAAAAGCTTCGTTTTTGGAGAAACTTGAGCCTGTTATGTAGTTGTAATTGTGTACCTTACATTAAATACCATTTCGTATTTATCTCCATATGGAAGCAAGTCCTCCTACCTTTCCACTCTTAATTCTTTGTGATATAGTTGCAAATCGCTGGTTAAGCTCTGACAGTTTGGGCTCTATTATTTTCCTGCAGTGATCTCCACGGTTTGTCATCAAGTCTACTGCCTGGTCACACACAGAATCCACCTTTGGATGCATATCATTCAGCTCAGCCTTTAAGCGCTACAGTCCGTGAGCAAGAGACAGGGCTTGAAGTTAGTAATAAATGCAAAGAGAGAGAAAGAGAGAGAGAGAGGGAGAGTGTGCAAAGGAATAGGGAGCAAAACCACAAATCAAATTCAGATAATTATGCATGAGTGTGTAAATCCAGTAGAAATACATTAGGTAACATTCCCATTCATATCCCTCAAATTTATGGCAGGAACGTATCTACATGTCTGTTTTAATATATCTTAGAGGAAATTAATGGTGAACATTATTTCTAGGCAGGTTGTTGTCTGCAACAATACAATCCTCAGCATATTCCAAGATATGCTAAATTATTTTACGTTTCTAAAGCTAAGAAGAGCTGCTAATTTACGTATTATGGAACTGCATATATAGTTGTTGATTTCATTACTGTTCACACCTGTAGTTGAGGTGGGGAAAAATGACCAGATGAAAATCAGTGCGAATTTTTTCTATACATCTATCACAAATTAAAAAAAAAACTGAAGGCAAATACCTTCTTCTTCTGCAATAGTAATCTTAACAGTAGATCTCAGTAAGGACAGAGGCTGAAAAGGATATCCAGGCATTCAGGAATCATAAACACAGTTGGGCATTAAGAATTACATTTCACTGTCTGTATGAAATGTCTGCATGCAACACAAATATATATACCTGTGTTGATGTCAAAGATAAATCTACTTTGTACCTGATGGTGGCAAAATTGTTAATTCAACTACAAAAGTCTGTCCTCTAAGCCTGCTGAGATCAATGAGGCATTCATTTATGCTCTGCCCTGGCATTTGTAAAGTTTTACATTAGTAAATGGTATCATTATGTTAGTGCCAGCAATACAATTCCGATTTTGATTTGCAAACTGTTCCTCAGATAGTATATATCATGGAGTTCAATACAAAAAAAAAAATTCCATATAGATAATAATTTGAACTTGTTTAATCTTACCAAATAAGCTATTTTAAATTAGATACTTGAACATCTATCTTGCAAGCTAATTTTTCATCAATTGGTCAAAGGATGCAATGGGCCAGATAAAACCTGATCAATACACTAACTCATTATTATACAGCTAGTTCATCATATAATATTCTTGTCTGTGGTGTTGGTCAATGCAAACAGTGTTTACAGAATTAAAACAATCATATGACAGAGATATCAAACGCAGATAACATATCAGACAAGTATCACAGAAAAAACAGAAAAGCAATTAAAAATGAAGAACACAGAAAAAAAGGATTTTGCTCAACCAGATGTGTTTAAAGAGTGTTTTCCAGCAAATACAGGTTTAATAAGCTGTTGTTCTACTCACCAAGAAGTCCCCAAGACTTAGAAAAACGTATCTGGCTTTATTTCTGCAAGGACTTAACTTTCACAAAGCAGTGTGAATTTATTAAGTAATCTACAAGCTGCCAGAGGGTAGCTTTATTGCAGAAAAAGAATGTTGATCAATTTATGATACCTTTCAAAATATGTTAGTTTTGACACATTCCTTTTTAGAATAAAATTAATGTTTTCCAGAAAATCACATTTTTTTACCTTAAGAGTTTCCTCTTTTTGCTGGGGCTTTTGTTTATCAGATTCATCCAACAGTATTTCAGCACGATACATCCAAGTTGTGACATTAGCTACATTCTGATCAAAAGCCTCCATGTGCTTTTGATATTCCTGTGTGTGGAAAAGGTAAATACTGCATACAAAAAAAGTAATCAGAACTGAAATAATAGTCAATTATGCCAACTGTGGCAAACATGTTTACATTATGAAATTAAACTTGATTATTTTGTACAGTAGCTATTTGTTTTGTGAAGGACAGAATCAGTTTCTTTGCTCTCACTTTATGTGTTATGTTTCTCCAAAAATACATTCTAGGAGAGACAGAAGCTTCCAAAGTGACAGGCAGGAGGGTGGTAGAGTCACAGCAAGACGCAGGTGTCTGCAGGTCAGCCAGGCTGCTGAGAGGAACAGGAAGCCAACAGCCAGACCTACTGCAGGTGGAAAGATGTTTCCCAAGAACCAGGCACAGAACTCATTTTGGAAAGCCACTGAGTTGATTGAAACCAAGGCGGAAACAAAGATGCACTTACAAAGTCACAATCTAGAATGCGAGCTTTGTTTATAAAACTTATTTGCATTTCACCTAACTTCTCAGCTTTGAGACTCTGCTTTTTAAAAAGCAATTCTAGTTGATATTCTGATTTTTTTTTTTCCCTCCTTAATTTTTTTGGTGAGCTCACTAGAGTAAGGTCTACACATATCCACCTCAGAACTCCAGGAGAACTATGCGTAGTTTGGCGTAATACTAAGTAATACTTTTTATGGACAAAAGGAACAGCTCAATGACATGTTGCTGTGCTTACCACTGGTACACTACTAAAATATCCATATTCAGTCTGTGTTTACAAGTTTGCCAACTGTGGCAAACATTTATACGTTATGAAATAAAACTTATTAATTTTATACAGTAACTGTAGAATCCAAAGCAGAGAGAAAGTAGAGAAATACATAACTATACCAGCCAATAAACTCCGTTACATGTTTCTTATAATCAGTTCCACATTGAAGCTGAGGACCTACATCATATTGAATGAAATGCTTAAATTTTCCAGATAAAACAGGCACAACCAGGTGGTTGCACTTGTACACTGCATACAGCCAAAGAAGCGCTGTAGTGATGCTGTATATCCATCGCAGAAGCATTCGTAAGGTAGCCACACAGACTCTAGTTGATCTCTAAGACATCAAGCTCTGAAAAGTCATAATAAAGGCTAACACACTCTTGAGAATCACTTTACTTTCTCTGGGTTGAAACTGCATTCCCGTTCTCTCAGCACCAGAAACAGCATACAAGATTTCCCAAAGCATTCTGGCAGTCAAACAGTTAAGACTCTTCTGGGTTTAAGGGCTCAAGCTGTCATCTCTTCATGGCAGAATTAACTTTAATGGAGAATATAGTTAAGTGACTATCAGCAGTTTGAAGTAGCTGGGACTGAAGCTCCTGAATATGAATTAAATGTGGTTTAGGGATTTTACTTTGGACTAAGCTTAATCTGGTGCCCTTAACTAAGTATCCCCATCCAAATCGGCACCACAAAACATGCATATCATGCAGTTCTGAAAGACCAAATCATAGTCCTTCAGTACGTTAGGTGTGCACCCTGAGCTCCTGATTTAGTTGCCTCTGATATCGAGTTCACACATACTAAAGCTACTCTATGGACCAAACCAACATGCAAGCTGGGACTTCATTCCCAAATGTACTACTCTTCCAAATAGAAAGACTAAAGTAACCAAAAGCAGATGAGGCTGTTGGTATCAATATCAAGACTTATTCAAATTAGACTATTTCTTTTGGTTGATTCATATTTAAGTAGTCTAGGTCCTCAGGGAGAAACTGCATTTCATTCATTAGGAAAAAAATAAATCATCCAGGAACTATCGAGGCAGACAGGAACGGGAAGCACTAGCAGGCAAGACTCCATAAATCCATCATTCTGTAAACAGTCAGATTCTTAAAATATACACAATGTACTAAACAGCAATCAATCTGATTGTCTGTACCTATGTATTCAATAAGCGTACTCCAGGGCACCAGAAAAAGCATTCATCTACGGCTGAGCACCTACGACTGGGCACCAACACTTCTATGTGAACAAATGCATTTTCCTTACCAATAACAGATTGAACCATTCCTCAGCACGTGAAGTTACTGCTTTCCAATTACTGTTCAAGAGGCTGAGTTTATCTTCCACTAGACTTTCCTTTCCTTTCAGCACTGTCTTCAGATTCTCTCCTAAATCACTGATGCTCTTAAGATGGACCTGGCGTTTCTCAATCTCCTTCCGTGTTGCCTACATGAACAGAATCAAAAATAAAAGTTCAGGAAATTAAAAATTCTCCATACTAAGAACATCAAATATTAAAACAGCCAGTAAGTTCATACTAGAACACACTCTTGCTTCCTGTAGAAAAAGAAAGTGTTCTGTGAAGAGTAGTAAATAAAAAGTAAATTGTTCTTCTTTAGCTCTGATAAAAATGTAAATATTCTTCATATTCTTATAATAATTTTTGCTAATAGCTTCATTTTTGAAAGTGTGAATTATATATAATTTCAGTGTTTAAAATATAGTTTTAATATTGAATTATTAAACAAGAATCCACATTTTATAATATTTATATTGAGATGGTTAAAGTTACTTTTCACATAATAAAATGGCATAATTATCAAATAGCACATAAAGCTTACATACAATAATAAAGCATCATGATGGCATCTTAAGACCTAGAGAACTCCACTGAAAATACTCTTAAGAAATATTTTAATATTTCTTTAATATTTTCAATGCAATCTTTTTCAGCAGAAACCATGTTCCTCTCTCCTGTTAGATTTCTTGTTTCCTAATTGTAGAAATGCATCTTCTCATTCCATTCACTGGGATTTCACTCTGCTAACTAAAATACTAAAATAAGCTATTATCTATAGCACCTCTAAACTTGAATGATTAAAATATATATGGAGAGCTACAAGATCAGATTTCCAGAATCTTCTCACACGATTATCTTACCTTACATAAATAGATTTAAATTATATGTAAGATTGCATAATTTACTTATTATTCATTTCTTAATGTTTGTTGCAACATGTGAGAAGTCTACAAAAGGCACAAACCCCAACATATCTGGATAACATGTAAAAAAGCAGGGATTTAATACTAAATACTGAGATGACACAATGCAGACTACAAAAATCTTGCTGAATACTAAAGCAGACGTACAAATTCCTTACAGATTCCCAATACCATATATAACCAGTTTTATGAGAAAAATTTATCTGAGCTCCTTGGCACCTGATAGCAAAGATGCAGACATATGTGATCTCAGTTCATACAAGAAAGCTCCAGCTAGACATGAAGTGGTCCAAATTGAACACAAACAGAAGAAAAGCAAGACATTGATTTCTCACAGATAACTTGAATGCACTAAAAGAAGCACTTCTAATCGAACCACAGTCACCATGCGTCCTTCTCAGGAAGAGAATTTTAACCACAGAATCAAAAGTGCTAGCTCTGTAATTTAAGAAATATAGGAATGACATTTCAAACACCAGAAGCCTATAAAAACCAAACACTCGAATCCCAAACTTCGCTACACTGTCGGTATAATATGAAACACAAACAAATAGAGTGGTGAAGTCCAGAAGGACTAGGCAATTTATATATTTTGATTTTGTGTGTTTATGAGGATGAAACTATGCAACATAAATAAAATACATAAACTTGTTAGAAGTTAGGAAGAAGCTAATTTTCCGATGCAATCTCACATGGCATTTTGGAGAAAGAGAAATATGTAAACAAAAGGTTGGATTTAGCATCATAACACTCAGAATTCAATTGAGGCTGTTAAATTTTTTCAGCAATGTTCAAAAGTGTTTTATAACAGAATACATTAACTCTATTTGCCATATAGTGAAGTTATGAAATCAAATTCTTTTATTTTTTTTCCTTAGTACTTGTATATTTATTTATAAAACAAAAGTTTATTCAAGCGTGTATCACCTGCTGGAAGACAAAAGTTCCGTAAATAATTTCAGGAAAGACAGCTGCATTAAAATGTGTATACAGTTATACAGATTATATTAAGGAGATATATAAATATATATACATATATATATATAGTGATCTCCTCTTTACATATACCTCTATGTTGGATCACACCTACTAGCAGATACAAGAGTTAAAGATGATGGCAAACTCTCAATTCAGATTGCTGTTCTAATTTCTGTTAGGCAGAATTCTGAAATATCTCTTTGGAAGAAACTCTTGTACTTCTACTTTTTTGAAGTGCCAGTTGTGGCTATTTGGTACAGGATATCACAATGGAAATTCTTTGACTCAAAAAAAAAATATTTATATTTCATTGAATGGAATCTTTCCTTAGCTTTTAAAGGAACCATTATTCTCTTCTAATTTATGTTTCTCAGAAAAATGCTGGTAGAGTGCCTTAATCAAAACTGGGAAAGCATTTCACAACTGAAATCCAGAATCTGAACATTTCCAAGAGAAATGGCATCTAGGTTCCGGGCACACAGGAAATGAAAGCAACCAGATAGATCTTTCTCCTCTGTTAAAACTCTGCATCCAGAGCGTGCTTCAGGTGCCCAGTTTCTAATTCCCATCCCAGTAACACTAGAAAGAGGATAGGGAGAAGGAGACAAGACCAGTTGAGCTTCCCTATACCAGTCCCTGACATCAAAATCTCAAGAAAGAAGCTGTAGTGTAAAATAAAAGCTTTATATAAGAAAAACAATTTTGGATGGCTTGAAACTTGGGCAGAAGGCAGATTGCTTTGCAGTGTTGAAAGGTGTGGAGACAAGCTTTACTGAGAATTCATAGCAGGTTTGTAGTTGCACACAACGGTATTTTACTAATTTTACACATGGATCTATAGGGTGACAGGATGAATCATGTTAGTATAAATAAATGCAGCTCCCTGAGCAGCCACGTACACTTTGAGTGGGATTCACAGCTTGCTTTCTGACCCCACTGAGCTGTAGCACACTCAATCTTTCAGTTTACTAACAAATACTACTGAGTTTTGTTGTTTTCTTTTCTATTTTCTTTTTTTTTTTCCAACCTAGTGTTTCATAAGGGAGTGAAAATCACAGCCTCCTCACATTAGCAAGTACTTACTAGGAACAAATGACATTTGAAAACAGAAGCGACATAGGAATGGCTTTTTCTGAGGACATGGTGCAGAGGGCTTCCGAGCTATACTTTATAGTGATAAAATTACCATATATCAGATTAAACTATTGATGTTTTTTCAAACAAACCAGAATTGTTTGTTTGAAAAAATTGTTTGTTTGAACAAACAAACAAAAAATTGTTTGTTTGAATGCAGAGGATAACATTGTAATTGTGCTGGTCATTAACATAGGTAGATTAAAAAAATTCAAGACTAAAGAAAGGTAGAAGAAAAGTTCTGTGTGCCTCCACACTGCCTGTACACTGTGGGTTACTCGGAAGTAATCTTTGCAATTTGAACCTTTCTAAAAGAAACGAGTTATGTGGTTCAGCTCTCAATAGTGGGATTAAAGAATTAATCAGAAGCTGATATTATGGCCTTCTCAGTGGCTGATTATACATATTTATTTGTTTATTCACAGCACATCTTTCATTTTTATTGCATTCTGGCCACAGAGTATGAATCAGTTAACACAATTTTCAGGTCATTTTCTTTTACTGATTTTACTGACAGGAAATATGTTGCTAAATGTGTTAGCTAATCTAATTCTAAGTACTTCAAGTCAGCTTTATATTCACTGGTATTACACACTGTGCTAAAATATAACATTAAAGCACTGGGAGACTCACACTGCTGATAGCAGTGAGTGATACAGGACTTTTCCTGGTAATACCATCTGCCATTTCCTTTTTGAGAACATGGTTTCCTGGCAATCTAATTCTTATCAGGCCAGTTCCTGATTAAAAGACAAATAAACCCTGCAATGGTTAATGTCTTCAGTGATACATACATTCACTAAATCAGACTTCTAATTATAAGCGGATTTCTAATATACAATGTTTAATGACTATCTTTCCACCCACATTTCATTTTTCTTATCTATTATAACAGAACTGAATTCAAATGGAAAGATTTAGCTTGTCTCTCCTGAGTAAAAAGGCAAGATTTATAGTCTTCAGTATATTGCCCATCTCATTTCACATAACTCAGCCAAGTCTTTGTTCCATCCTTAGGAAAATTCTAGACATGAACAAATAACACATTTCCATTCATGTCCAGATTAATGCTATGTTTCATTAATGTCATTTCCTACTCCAAATGGACATTCCTTTTTATTTCTAAGTGTTTATACCTTGAAACAATATTTGTATACATGAGTTTTTTATTCTAGCCTCTACAATTATCTCTGAAATCCTCTGAGCTACTTTAACTTTTAAGAAGTCTTGGGTACTGAAAATGAATTAGAAATAAGTACAGTAATAAATATAACGGCTTCCCTGTGCTGTAAAGAAAAAAGATTATGAGCTCTCTGCTTAGTTATATCAACAGCAGCACACATCCAATTTTCAGTTCATTCGCACTATTGAGTTCTCCTCTTCCCCCCTCCGTTTTCCATCTTAGTTTTTCTGCAGTCTCTCGTCACAATGGGAATCTGCTGGGTTTAATTCATCTCCCAGTGCATTTCATTAAATTGGTTACTGTCTTTGGCAGCCTACTTACCCGGGAAGTCCAAAGCCCAAAGCGGTGACATTAATCAGATAGTGTGAAAGCCTGGTTCTGGGGACTGAATTATTGATGTACGCTTTTGTATGATGCCTCATGAAATCCACATAGGAGTATCAGTATTGTACTTATTTATGAAGTCCTCACAAGAATTTTAAAGTGACCAGGATAACATGGAGCAGTATCTGCCTCTTAGTGGGAGCAGAATCTTTAGGAAAATGTGTACTTACGTCACATAATTTCTGCAAATACTTACATTTGGAAGATTTGCCACCTATACTATCTGTTGGATTGCTCAAAATCAAAAGTCTGCTTATGCTTATGTAAATATCGGTTTATATTTCCTAAAGAGAATCTTAATAAAGGAATTTTGAAAGCCATTCACTCAGTATATATATATACTTCAACAAGAGGCAGCTGCTCTCATACAAAGTTGTTTGTTTATTCTTATTTTAGTGATGAACTTACTGAAGAAGAGCTGAGGTAATATATGAGATTAGACTCAGTGAAGACTTCGGGCAGAATTTGAAGCCAAAATGTGCTTTTTACCAATTTTTCATGCAATCCTTTATGTATCAATTCCTTGTGAGAATTCGCAATACTCAATGGCATTCTTTAAGATTAGTAGGTGGAGTGCTTCTTGTTTGATATATTTTTCATGTTAATATTTCTTATTTTAATTAGTTCTAGTTACCTTTTTGATTGTCATAAGATAAAAATATGTTGTACTTGTTGTAGCAAGTGTAAGACATAAAAAGGACTTCCCACTGTGTAACTGCACTTGATCATCAGGCTTTAGGTTCTAATTATGTAACTTCTGAAGCATTAAGCTTCATATCTATCAATTAAATTATATTAAGGACAAATCTTTTTATTTAAGGTGCTGTGAAGCGATATATATGGATGAACTTTCCTGAACATCCATGCAGGAACATACAGCGTACGTTTCTGTTTCAGTAGAACTGTACTGTGTAGTTTAATACGACCAAAGATGATTCTTATTTTCCTGACTGGGTAAACGGACTGAGTAACTGGCAGGTTAGTTTGGGATCGTTAAAACCATATGATTGTATAATCCACCTCTTAAAAATTTGACATTTGTCCTTTTTTATGGGTGTTAAGATCACAATATCAATCAAAGGTAATGAGAGAAATTGCAAAGACTTTAGGAAAGGCAGAAAGTGAAAATGAGAGAACATCAAGCAGCAACTGTGTTTTTAGGGATCCAGGTTTTGATTTGAAAGTCAAAGCAGCAATTATCAAAGCAGTAATTGTAAGATAATAATAGCAAAAGTTGATCTGTATATATTTTTGAATATTACTTTTAAAACATTATAATTCTTAGAGATCAATCACAAAAGACTCGTAGACTTTCTTTTTTTGTTATTTGTTCGTAAATCATCGGTGTATTTCAAAGCTAAAGACATTTTGTCAAGCTCGGATCCTGAAAGGGGCAGTTAAAAACAAAAATTCCCCACAAAACAAGCAAACAAACCACCAATAAGTTTTATTTCAGTTTCTTTAACTCGCACAGCATTTAAAAAAAGTAGTAAGGTTGCCTGTGAATTATTAATATTTCTATAATGCATGGTAAAATTGGTAAAATATTTAAAGAATTCTTTCTATTAAATAGAGCAGAAGTGATACATTTTTACACAAATAAACAATACTATTTAAGGGGCTTTATTGTTGTTTTGTGTTTAGAAATTATATAGGAACACCTACCTAAAATTATTCTGGCTGCATATAATTATTCAAAATTTTGAAGCTTTGGATAACAATGAGCATGGAATCATAGAATCATAGAATGGTTAAGGTTGGAAGGGACCTTAAAGATAATCTAGTTCCAACCCCCCCTGCCATGGGCAGGGAAACTCTCCACTACACACAGTTTCTCAAAGCCTCATCCAACCTGGCCTTGAACACTTCCAGGGATGGGGCATCCACAACTTCTCTGGGCAACCTGTTCCAGTGCCTCACCACCCTCACAGGGAAAAATTTCTTCCTTATATCTAATCGAAATCTGCCCTCTTTCAGTTTGAATCCATTGCCCCTTGTCTTATCACTACACGCCCTTGTAAAAAGTCCCTCTCCAGCTTTCCTGTAGGGCCCCTTTAGGTACTGGAAAGCTGCTATAAGATCACCCCGGAGCCTTCTCTTCTCCAGGCTGAACAGCCCCAACTCTCTCAGCCTATCCTCATAGCAGAGGTGCTCCAGCCCTCAAATCATCTTCGTGGCCCTCCTCTGGACCGGCTCCAGTAGCTCCATGTCCTTCTCATGTTGGGGACTCCAGAGCTGAAGACAGTATTCCAGGTGGGGTCTCATGAGAGCTGAGTAGAGGGGCAGAATCACTTCCCTCGACCTGCTGGCCACACTTCTTTTGATGCAGCCCAGGATACGATTTGCTTTCTGGGCTGCCAGTGCACATTGCCAGCTCATGTTGAGCTTCTCATCCACCAGCACTCCCAAGTCCTTTTCCTCAGGGCTGCTCTCAATCCATTCTCCACCCAGCCTGTACTTGTGCTTGGGATTGCCCTGACCCACGTGCAGGACCTTGCACTTGGCCTTGTTGAACTTTTTAGTTTCCTCTAAAGCACAGATTTTGGTATATGTGTAGAATGATGGCTTAGTTTGTCTATTTTCTGCTTGGACTTTTATTATACATGCAGAATATAAACTAGATTAGCTAGTGTTGAATGACACTGTGCTGTTTAACATCACACAGAGACGTGCAGTTCGATTTAGAACTCTTGCATTTCTCAGTGATTCTGTAAGATGCTTATCTAAACTGTGGCACTCATAGTAATTTTAAAGAAAGTTTCATTTTAGGCTTTGAGTTTTAACCTAAAAGATTTGAGTTGAAGTCTTATGGAAGTAAGAAGTCTGAGAATGAAAATAAGTGAGATAGAAACCAAAAAGGGTAGGAAAACAAACGTCACACCTCTTGGCTGCTATCTAAACAGGTGGAATATATAGTCTTAATCTTTAATCTTTCATCCACTGGAACTGTTTTACTGTTTAATACTTTTCTAATCAGAGTAGAATGGGATGAGAGAGCAACAGATCTCTATTTAAATGGATACTAGATGGATAATTTATAGTACTTTCTGAAAAACATAATTCTAACTTTAAATTCTTTTCAGTGAAGATTACTGCAATATGAAGGTGAACTGTGCTACTGGCATATGCAGAGACAAGATGGTTAAAATTTTTCTGAGCATCAATGTTAGGGTGAGATAATGCCATAACAGTTACAAAGTTCCACTAATTTAAACCCAAGTTTTTTTTATTCTCTTTATCAAGAAACAAATCTAGCTTTCTTTAATATGCATGAACTGAGATATATAGAGGTACAGTGAGTGTTACATTGTTACCTTGCTCCAGGCAATTTCAGCATCCAAATTGCTAGGCATCCCCTGCACAGCTGATCTCTTTGTCAATTCTGCATCTGTCGCTGCAAGCCATTCTGCCACAGCATTAATTTCTTTTCTTAGCTTCCGGGACAATTTCAAGCATTTCTCTAACTCTTGCTTTTTTTCTGTCACCTGCAGAAAGAAAACATGTGTTCCTTAACTCTTCAGTGAAACAGGTTTAATGATTTTTATATACCATTTTCCATATGCCACTTTTCGGTAGGAGCTTAACTGGTAATTTCACAAGCTGAGTTGCACTCTCAATATAGTTACGCCTTGCCTTAGTTCTCTCACTATCTGTAATTTTGCTGCTAGAATACAAACACATACAAGAAAAATATGTGCATAAAGACACATTGAGTTTGAACTAGCAGAAGACCTCTGTAAACCTCCTCCTCCATTTTGAAGCCATGCACAGCAAACTAATCTGGAATAACTGAATTAACAGGCTTTCCTTCAGACATAAAATAGATGACAAAACCCTTCAAAGTGTATATTTTCGTATAGATGGCCATATAGCGATATTGAATCCTCAGGGTTTTTTCTATGTAGCTACACTAATAGAAGAAAAAAAATTATCTGCCAAAGACACCACAAAATCTTGAAACACGAAAGTCACTGAATGATGTCAAACTAAGGCAGCATAGTTAACTTGAAATTTTTAATTTCTCAGCATATTATTTTGTAGTCTGTTTAATACTCTTTAAATATAGGGATTTTGCATAAGAATTTGTATTTCGTTTCTTTTTTTCAAAGCAAACTGAAAAATAAATTAAAAATCAGCAGAAATGTGTATCATTAGTAAATTCTTTCCAAGGTTTAACAACACTTATTTGAGTCACTGAAGAACTACTTGTATGTTTACATTATATTATTTGATTCATTCTTTACTAAGCTCTCTTGCCTCCTCTCCCACCATCTCATAAAAAAAAATGTCTGCCACTTTAGCATGACAAACATTGTTACCAGCACACAGTCAGACTCACAGTGATCCTGCAACAAGACCACTCGTTTTTTTTGTTTGTTTGTTTTTGTTTGGTTTTTTTTTTTTTATAATATCATTTTACTTTCTTTCATACAGTGGAGGGAAACCCAAGCGTCCTCAAGTGTCCTCATGTGATTCATTTGGCAATGACTAAAGATCAGGCATCTCTGTTCTAAATATATCAACCAAAGAAAGGTGAAATGCACATTTTCTAGAGAGGGCAGAAGAGTAAATGAAGGGATCTCAGATAGATATTAGGCAACAGGTAGTTGTAAAATACAAATTAGTTATGTTGGGCTGAAGTTTAAAAAAGGTCAATTAAAGAAGGTGGATTAAAAGTGTTCAGTAGATTACTAATATTTAAAAGAAATTACTAATTACCTCACACATCAATTAGAAATCAAGTGAGATGTAGTCACTGATTTCTATTTAAGTATTTTTTAAATAGAAAAAATTGTCTACAGTAGTGTCAGATATTCAAAACTGGTATCGATATCTGCTAAAACTATTTTAGGCTTTGACACTGTTTAAGTACAAGTAATGGCACAATGATCAAATTGATTCCTAGCTCTACTGCCAGGAAGAGTTTAAGGTTTTAAAATGTGATAGGATGTTACAAGGTTAGGTACATGGCTTTTGCTATCCCTATTAAATAGATCAGATTTGCCCAGGGGATAAGCAATAAAATGTCCCTGATCGTATATCGTCACTCTGTAGAGGTTTACTACTAAAATCTCAGAGCATTTCTTCTTCACTGAATAAGCTTTAATTGCTTTTTTGTATGCAAAATATATTAAATAAGACCTAAGAACTTAGAGTCAGGCCAAGATGTAAATCCCCGGGGAAGTACCACAAAACTCAGCTCTTTAGAGCTACATTCACACATGGATCCACTCATGTTTTTTACCTTTTCTTCTGATAAGTATTATTAGGCATTGTAAGTAACTACTCCCAGGTACTTAACAGCAATACAATGGAAAATGCACTACTCTAAGTGTGATTGCTTGTGTAAGAATCCTAAACACCCAGTACACTCTAAGATGAAGTTACTGACACATGCTCAAACACAGAAAGAACATTTGCTTTGCTATAGACATATCTAAATTCTGTACATAATATCAATAATATTACACTATTTCTGTGTACCGTGTATGCCTCCAGAGGTTACTTATTAATCAGTTTGTTTGTACTTCAAATGTAAAGATGTATTTCTAAAGAAAAATAGGAAACAGTGCCCTCTAAAGGCCTTTTTTTTATGCAGTGATAGCAAACATACTATCTCCATAAATTTTCTCTCCATTTTAAAGCTACTTTAGCTATGCTAAATAGCTTACTCGCAAGAATCCTTCAATGTAATGAATAAAAATAAAACAAGAAAAGTAGATACTTGAAAAATAAGAAAGGTATTTTACAGGCTTTTAGTATTACAGTCAAAAATTCTTGTGCAGTATTGCTATTGTGAGGAGAGACCTGACCTTGTAAGAGCCCCTACTGCATGAAATGCCCTTAGGAAAGCAGTAAGAACATTATTACCGCCACTTTCTTTTAGAGTCCAGCTCCCTGTTCTGAGGAATTACCACAGAGAGATTTGACATAGGCATGCTACAGACCCTACCTCACAGACACTCACAACTGAAAAAAACTACCTGAGCTGTAATATGGTAGTTTGCTTGTATATATGTATATGTGCTTGTGCCAGAGAGAGACAACAGGGTAAATGAATGCATAAGTAAGCACAGGCATGGAACATTTCTCATAAATGTAACCACTACACCCTGATACTCAAACTAAATTTTACATTCTTGCGATTTTATCTCAAACATACTTACATTGAGGCCACTGCTAAAGTTTCAAAATTATCAATCATGCTCTTAAAGCATATTTGGATGTTTGGAGCAAAATACAATGTTCTAAACAGACAAAACTCATTCCCATACAAGAGGTTTAAGGTCTGATATTACTTAAGCAATTAGGACTATTCAGAGGTATTTATATCCATATATGTAGAGGCTAAAAAAAAAATAAAATAAAAAAGGAAGAAAAAAAACCCCACAAACCTCACACCTTCATAGAATCACAGAATGGTTTCAGCTGGGAGGGAACTTATAGACCATACAGTTCCAGCCTCCTTGCCATGAGCAGGGACACCTTTCCCTAGATCAGGTTGCTCAAAGCCTCATCCAACCTGGCCTTGAACACTTCCAGGGATGGGGCAGCCACAGCTTCTCTGGGCAATCTGTCCCAGTGCCTCACCACCCTCACAGGGACGAATTTCTTCCTTATATCTAATCGAAATCTGCCCTCTTTCAGTTTAAATTCATTTCCCCTTGTCTTATCACTACATGCCCTCCTAAAAAGTCCCTCACCAGGATTCTTGTAGGCCCCCTTTAGGTACTGGGAGGCTGCCCTAAGGTTTCCCTGGAGCCTTCTCTTCTCCAGGCTGAACAACCCCAACTGTCTCAGCCTGTCTTCATAGCAGAGGTGCTCCAGCCCTTGGATCACCTTCGTGGCCCTCCTCTGGACTCGCTCCAACAACTCCATGTCCTTCTTATGTTGGGGACCTCAGAGCTAAACGCAGTACTGCAGGTGGGGTCTCATAAGAGCAGAGGGACAGAATCTCCTCCCTTGACCTGGGGTCACCCTTCTTTGGATGCAGCCCAGGACACAGTTCGCTTTCTGGGCTGCAAGGTCGCATTGCCAGCTCATGTTGAGCTTCTCATCAATCAAGTTCTTCTCCTCAGGGCTGTTCTCAATCCATTCCCCAGCTAGCCTCTATTTGTGCTTGCGATTTCCCCGACCCATATGCAGGACTTCGCGCTTTGCTTTATTAAACTTCATGAGGTTTGCATGGGCCGACCTCTCAAGTCTGTCGAGGTCCCTCTGGATGGCATCCCTTTCCTCCAGTGTGTTGACTGCACCTCACAGCTTGGTGTCATCGGCAAACTTGCTGAGGGTGCACTCAATGTCACTGTCCGTGTCACTGACAAAGATGTTAAACAGCACCAGTCCCAATATTGACCCCTGAGGAACACCACTCATCACTGGTCTCTACTTGGACATTGAGCTGTTGACCACAACTCTTTGAGTTTGACCATCCAGTCAATTCCTTATCCACTGAGTGGTCCATCCATCAAATCCATGTCTCTCCAATTTAGAGACAAGGATGTTGTGCAGGACAGTGTCAAATGCTTTGCACAAGTCCAGGTAGATGACATCAGTTGCTCTTCCCTTATCCACCAATGTTGTAACCCCATCGTAGAAGGCCTCCAATTTGTCAGGCATGATTTGTCCTTAGTGAAGTCATGTTGACTGTCACCAATCACATCTTTATTTGCCATGAACTTCAGCACAGTTGCCAGGAGGATCTGCTCCATGATCTTGCTAGGCACAGAGGGGAGACTAACTGGCCTGCAGTTCCCTGCGTCTTCTTTTTTTCCCTTTTTAAAAATGGAGGCTCTGTTTCCCTTTTTTCCAGTTAGTGAGAACTTCACCAGACTGCCATGACTTCTCAAATAAGAAGGATAATGGTTTAGAAACTTCATCCGCCAGTTCCCTCAGGACCCATAGATGCATCTCATCAGGTCCCACGGACTTGTGCATCTTCAGGTTCCTTAGATGGTCTTGAACCTCATCTTCTGCTCCAGTGGATGGTTCTTCATTCTCCCAGTCCCTGCCTTTGCCTTCTGTGACTCGGGCAGTGCAGCTAGAGCACTTGCCAGTAAAGTCTGAGGCAAAAAAGTCTTCTTAAAGGAAAGACTTTCTAGGTTTAGAGAGTCTAGAGTCATGAAACGTAAAATATCTAGAAAAACTACATAGGTACAGAAATTATCATAATTTTCCTGTGCATCTGAGAGTACAACACTTCATTGTTCAACATGTTTATATTAAACCATTCTGTTTGCTTAAAAATGTGCTTAAAGATTGTTTCAAATATAAGGAGACCTCCTGAAGCAGTACATATGAAATCACACAAGTGAGTCTACAGATCTCGGTCCTGAGACTTACCATTAGTTATAACTATTCTATTTTTTTTTAAAAAAAAGACAGACTTTGACTCACTGCAATCAAGTCGGGCTAATAATGTCTAACTGATTCTTTCAGTTCTGTATCTCTGGGCCTTTGTGACTCTCTCCAAAACTATTAACTATCATGCTACATAAAAGTAAATGTGAGAAATTACATCTAGGAGAAGAAAGCTAAACACACACTGCAGATTTTTGAGAGATATTAATTTGCAATATGGCTCACTTCAGATCACTAATGGCTTCCTAATGGCACATTTTTATCCGTTCATTAGTTGAGAGGTTTCCTATAACAATGGCACCTGTCTGCTGCTACGTTAAATATAATGTAGGACTAAATGCTACAACCCTTTTTAAAATAATGGAGAAACCAAACATATTATCTAGTCTCAAATGATAGCTATCCACACCCTAATGATTGATACATCTTAATACCTTTATTTTCTAGCAAGAGAGAAATGTTTTAATACAGGATCTTAAATGAGTATTATCTCTGTCAAAAAGAACATAATTCTTATTTGTTTATTGTACCGTAGTCAGTGGGGTTCAACTATCATTACGTGTTTAAATCGCAAACTGACTCTCGGTATCACCATGGGCTCATTTTCCTAGTTAGTAATAATTTACGGTTTTAATAATTTATAATCTGACAAAGCAAAAAATTTGCATTCTGTCCTATTCTGTATATTTCAAGTGTATAAATTTTAGAAATAGACCGACCACTACATCTGTCATTCACAATCTTCATTCAGACAGTTACAGCAACAAATTTACTTTAACCCTACAGTTTTTAGAAGTTCTGTGGATAGTTCTAATGAGGGCAGGAGGAAGAAAACAGAGTAATGAAGGATAGTTGTTAACAGAATTATTTGCGTGAAGTCTTCTTTAGGACAATATCACAACTCCTCTTCAGAGCTCAAAGATCCTTGTAGAAGATTCTACTTCAGAAGCAAGCAATGCACTCCATAGATAATGCAGACCCTAAATAAAAAGCCTTTAGGGATAAACACACAATTTTTTTTTCAATTATGGTCTTGTTCATATTGGTCATAAGGTCTGTCTTTCCTACTCTCTGTTTAGTTGACTTATAGGAAAAAATGAGTAAACAAAAACATTCTCTTGTTGGGAAGTGTAACAGCCTCTAAATGCATGCGAATCCATAAAGAAATCGATGATGTAGAGAAGGAAATTTTAAACAAGGAATGACAGTGTTTGAGAAATTAACAGGAATTACTCTACAAAGTTAATTATATATAAATAATTTATTGGTATCATAAGGTAAAAGACTATACCATTTTGAGAACTTTTTTTTTTTTTCTGTAGGTGAAGCTGATATTAGATAAGAGATTATTGGGAAAGTATTAATGTAGTCTTCCTAATCATATGCTAACATACTTTAAGTGGTCAAACTGAGTATTGTATAAATATCAGGGCTTTTTGTTTGTTTTAACAGAAGTTTCCTAAGCAGTTCTAGTCCAAGGCAATACATTCCACATGACAGAGCTCAAGGGATGGTGACTCAGTTTTGCCCAACATGGAGTAACTGGTATCTGTGATGTAAAAAGATTAGGAGAGTTATTCCACATACAACTAAATAATATCCTATGTGGTGCATATATAAAGATTCAGCGAAAAGGTAAGTCAGTTTGTACATGATATTTAAATCAGGGAGCAGTTATGACAATAACTGAACACATGGTTAAACTCAAGAGTGGAGCTGAAGCAGAGTGATACACAAACGTCTCCTGATAAAAGCTTCAGTAGCAAGAATTCTTCATCAACAGATTTTTGTACAGCAACAAGTAGAAGTGAAATAAAGATCTGTACAGTAAGAGGCAGAAAGAAATGAAAAGATATAATTCTTTCCTCTATGAAGTAGCTCTTTAAGTAAAATGTGAAGAAAAACAAATCACAAATAAAATCTAAATATTTTCCTGACCTGAAGTGTTTTGAAACAAGTGTTTAAGGTATTAAAAGAAACAACATCCTTCTCTGACTCCTAAAACACAATGAAATAGTAGAAAAAAAAAGTTAAAACACTAAGAAAGTATAATTTTGATCTGTAATAAAGCAATTTTATATTTTTCTAGAAGGATCTATGCTTTCTTAAAACAACTGAATAGCCATCCTCATGATTACTTTTGCCTCCATTCTTTCTGTCCCGTTGTTTAGAAAACGTGAGGGCCTTGAATGGAACCAATAACAAACCCGTTAACTTACCATACCAAGATTATTCTTCACTCTGTAAGTTAAAAAGAGGGCATAGTTTTACATTGAAAATACAGAGCTTACCTTTGCACCCAATTCATTATACTGCAACTTCAAAGCTGTAAGCCTTTCATCCAGTTCTTTTGGGTTCTCTGTCTGCTGCTTTTGAACAATCTGCCTCCCAGTTTTTATCACTGTTTCCACTTCGGACTTCACCTCACTTAGGCTTTTATATAATTTCTAATTAAATATAAATATGAAACATAACCATTAAATTAAGTAAAATGGAATAGATTATTGAAGATATTATAAAGTTGCACTAGAAGTCTTTGTACTGTCTACTGCATAAAGCCACCATCGTGTATGACTCTGAGCACCTTCTACTCCCATTTAAAAGCTGAAGGAGTTGAGAGGTACCAACATATCCTTAGGTATGTGACCTAAGGATAAAGAAAACTCACCCAGAGTGTGTATTGAAAAAAAAAAAGTTAATGAGAAAAATTAATCCATTTCTAAATCAGAATCCAAATTAACAGATTCAGAACAGCCTATCTGTACTAATATTGCTTTCAAAGACTTGTCATCAAAACCAATGGTAGAAATGTTATACATAAGAAAGTACATACCATCTCTAATTGTTATAAGATGCGACAAAGGTTGTTTTCAAACTGGTTTAGATAACACAGTATTTAAAACAAAAACAGATGTCTTCTGTTAATTCATACAGTTTGTTGGATGTACTTAAACTACAAATAGCTGCTAAACTCACTTAAAAATCTGACAATTTTTCATACTACTACATCAAGATTTCTCCGATATTTACTAAGTATAATACTGTTCACAACATTAAATAATTAAAAAATCTACCTGAAAAAGAAACATGGTTAAGCCAAAATATTTTAAATAAGCAAGTAATCTGTAAACACATTTTCTCTAATATTTCAAATGAGTGATACTAAGAAAAAGAAGAGCATTCTTTCTTTTCATATGCTGAAAGTCAGCATCATCATCTAAACATATGACTTGGTATCTCAAGCCATTTAACAGCCACATAAATGCCCAAATTAACATTCATGTAAGGAGAGCAGAAGTTGAATTTATTTTTCTTGTTAATCTAAGATTAAATTCTTCTATGACATGGAAATTCCACAGTGGAAAAAGACTCCACAGTGGAAAAAGACTCCACAGTGGAAAAAGACTCCACAGAGATACACAGTGTCCTTTACCACACAGGTACGCAAAGAATGGCAAGTGTAAAGCTGTTGAGAAGCTTTACTATACACAGTCCAACTGCTTTCTAGGTGCTTAATATAATAAATACATTGTTCATCACTGAAAACCTGTCAATAAATTAGGAAGGTGTTGTATGATGCATAGTGGCTAACATCTGATGGGATACTATGACTAGATATTAAAAAAAAGAAACATTATGAGATTCTTTGCAGACAAAGATTCTCTAAAAACACTATAAGTCTTCCACAGAGTATGACAGCTGCAAAAGCTAGCTGCAAAGTGAAAATACTTTAATTCAGTACAGAGCTTCTAATTACCATCTCATTCCTGTAAGAATATAAATTTAAGAGTAATTGCATTTAAAAAAAAACCTCACGAGATGTAAAGAAAGAGTATTGACTTGTTCCACACTTATTTTTTAATTTAAATTCTTAAATTTAGATCTGAAAGAAGTGGAGGTGAAAACAACATCTTCAGGCACGCCATCACTCCAGAAAAACAACACAACTGAAGACAAGGATCTGATTGTCCTGATTTCTGCTGTTAAAATCTCTTTTTTTTTTTATCATCAAGAACCTAGTGTTCATTTTTATCTTTATTCTCCTTCAACAGTAAAGGGGTACAGGATATTCAGATCTTTTGCTCTTGTAAGAAGAGTTGCAGTATGCTATCTCATGAAAGTTGTAGTCAATGTTTTTCCTTTATGTTTTGTGTTTCCTGGCTAGAATAGATTTGTGCATTGCAAAATCTCTTTTGGTTACATCATTGAGTTCCATGATAGTAGCATATTGTGGAAAATAGAGCCCATCCAGTGAGATAAAGTCATATGAAAGACAGAAAGAGGGAATCAGAAAGGGATCCGGACTGACCTTCTCACATAGTGAAAGTTCAAGACCATTGTTTGAAAGTTCACTGAAAGGAGAACGGTTTAATATTTTTTTTTCTTTTCAATTTCATGAGTAACTGATAATTTATTTTTCACTCTGAATTCAGGACAATATTCTATAATATTTAGCTTTCTTCACAGAAATACACGTTTTCAATTTTTTTCAGTCATTTAATCAGTGTCTCATGCTTGTGAGAGGTCTTTGCCATGGCAGAAGAAAATAACAAGATATGGAAAGAAAAAGGTCACTGTAACACTGTTAGAACTATTTCACCATGTTATTATATCACGGGAAACTTTGAAATTGAATATAATTTTAAGTGTACAATGTCCTTCTAACCTCATTTGCAAGTAAGAGAAGTAGGATGAGGAGGATTAACCCCTTCTCTTTATTCTAGTCTCCTTGAAAAAATCAAACTTTAAAAAGGTTCCTATAACTTTCATGGTGTAACTTTGCTCTTAAATCTTTCTCAGAATATTTTCTAATATTTCCCAAAGAAATATTGACACCAACATTGAAAATACTTTAAATTTGAAAGACAGATCAGGCAGGAAACAGAAAGACAGTATCTTTGAATATTCACCATGCAATGATCCAACTGTGATTGTACTACTTCCTGCTCAACACTCTTCATCTCCAACTTGGGCACCTGCAACTTCACTTCATCTAAAATTCTTTTACATTCTTGAAGGCGCTGTTCAAAGTTGGCTGGTTTCTGAAATAAGCGAAACTTCATGGAGACATCCTGCAGCTTTTTCTGAGAAGTAAACATAGGTGAGTAGTAAGTGTGAAGTCACATCAACATTGAAGACAAGTCTTAGACCTGTTTCAAAATACTTAGAATCTAGTATCAATCAGCTGTTTCTTATTTAAAGAATTTAAATGTTTTGAGGAAAACACCAGCAGCAGAAAATCTTGGTCTTCACAGGAGGAAAAAATAGTCCCTCAAAGAAATCCTAATATAGTGGCTGAGCAGTAAGTAGTTCTAGTTCAAAACCCAAGATTTAGAGTATAAAATTGATTTCTATTTAAATTTAAAAAAGCATAACCTAGAGTAAAAAGAAAGTAATTTGAAGGCAGAAAAATCTATGACAAGCATGGCTTCTAATTTCATAATTTTCACAATTTGTTATCTTTGTGCTTTAATTATATTGCTTGCTCACATGATCCCTACCTCAGGGGAAGGCAAAATAATTAAAAATAAAGCAAAGAAAGGGCATTTTAATTATCTACTTGAATAAGAACTAATTTCTCTTTAGAAGTACAGAGCAAAGTTCTAGTAGAATAAGTTATTCTACAGTTTGAAATTAAAGAAAGAATGTCACTAAGAAATGGATAAGTAATTAAATAGGAACTCAGTACCTGCAAACACACTTTTGATTTTTTTACCTTCAAATCCTGGACACTTTATACCAATACAGTGTTGTCTGTACTACATAAACTTGAGGAAATCTATAATAAGGAATAGAAATAGTCTATACATAGGCACTAGTAAAAACACTTCCCACATCTATCATATTTCTGTGAAGGAGGTAGGAATCATGAACATAAGATGATTCTGGGTAACATAGGAAACTGCGTAGATTTGCAGCAGCTCATTCCAACAACTTTCTTCATTAAATATTCTTAATGAAATTGAGATTCAATGAGGTAAGAAAGGAAGTCTTTCCTTAGATAAATAAGTGAACAATTGAATAAATCAGGGAAAAAAAAGGATAGGAAAAAGTAGTCTTATTTTTCTTCTGTGTGTTTGCATACGCTAAATTCATACTTAATTAGTTTTCAGCTTCTTGTGACACTTCAACATCATAAAGATCAAGTCCTGTGGGAAGCTTGCAATGCCATATCAATAACTGTTACAATTTGTGTTGGTCAATATATTAAAAATTGTCTAGAAAAGAGAGAGAATGACAGTATTAATGGTAGAGAAAATTAAAGCCATCTGTGAAGAGTCACTGAAGGATTGCACAGTACCGAGGATCTGTAGGAAAAGAACCCAAGCAAATTATGTTTAATTAATCCAAAAATTAAGTAATGCACATCACAAAAGAAACACTAAGCTTGATATACAAGTGGAATCTAAATTATCTATTAGCACTCTCATTTAAGTTATAATAGGTAACTATAACAGTTATATTATATACTTATGTTTATCTCTGACAAATTTTAAAAAATATCAACTAGATATTTAAAAGCAGCCAAACATGCAAAATGGGTATTTGGAATGATTTGGAACATGATGAATAGAAAAGAAAATATTTGTCATAGTACAAAAGTTACTGCATAAAACTATACTGTGCTTGAACAATGTGCACACTTTTGATCATCGTATCTCAAATATCTTTTTATTTCCAAATCAAAATACTTTTAACTGTAAGTATTTCCAAATACCTCAAAAAGTGTATCAAAAAGCCTCACTGTAGTTTTATTTGTTGTAACTGCAGCACATTCTAACTGTCACCATCTAGATAAGAAGGAAAAGAAAAATGAGCAGTAAGAAGACACGAATGGTACGCTTTATCCACTCCCATTTCCTGGCTAGAAAGGAGGAGCTAAAACAGAACAGAGACACCTTAGAACACTTCATACTGTAGTAATAGTATTATGCTGTTCATTCGCATGAGTGAAGGAAAGATGGAAGAAATAAACTTTGCATACCTGTGCCACATCAATTTGGGAAAGCACTCTTTTGGCAGCATCTTTACCCCGGTTTCGTTTCTTCATTTCTTCCAAACTAATCTCATGGCTTGTTAATTCAGATTGTATTTTCTATTGAAAAACAAAGACAGTAATCATCAGAGTTTGAAGAAAACGTTTATGTTGTTAATATTATTTGGAACAGTTGATTTTGAAAGATATTAAACAGAAGTACTACACTACATATTGGATCATTAGAGAAAATTATTCCACGAATTACTTGTTCACCACCCTATAAATTATTAAGTTTAGTTTCTCTTGATCATAAGAAAAACTCCTGCTTAAATATATATAACTTTGACATTGAGATACTATTGACATAATCTTGCTAAGGAAATTGTGATTAAATTGTAGGCAACAAAATATAGATTTCTTTCTTCTAAAGGAAAACAACTACTGTCACTGGGAAGAAAATTAAAAATTAATCATAGAAAATAAAAATACAAATAGAAAAGCGATTTGCTTCGCTATTGTTATTTCTTATTATTTTTCACAGTATTATCAGGCAAGTTGAAAGAAAACTGATCAAAGTATCCTGCATATATAACATCATCACCATCTTGCAGAGTTCTGTTACATCTAAAACAGTATACAATTTGTAGCATATTCCTGATGAATCTATGTTCAGTATCTGTAGATATGCTGAATGCCTAATGGCATGTATTTCATTAATACGCTAACTTAATCCATTTTCTATCACACATTTCTGTTTATCTCCTTCTGCAAAACCAGTGTGCAATCAAATCATCATAAGAAAAATATCAGCCATGTTGGTTCACCATAAATCAACCTTACAGAAACAATTAATTCAAGCAATGTTGGCTAGTGCAATGTAATGGAAAAGAATTCCCATAAAGTATATTGATATAACATAATTTAGCGTGATTCACATATTTTTGTTTAAATTGTTAGATAATGAGATATTTTTATTAGCAGAATTGCTAGGCAAGTACTACTGAGAACAATTACCCTATGAAATAAGACAAGGTATGTTCCCACCAGGAAAGGTATTTAAGGCCATTAACCCTGCATGAAAAAGTGATTTTAGGTATAATCTGCTTTTTTCTAGGGTATACAAGCATTTCTCATATACTCTAGAGACAGTTTAAATACATGCACATGCGTTTATCTTACACTACAGTCACTTGTAAAATATGAAAACTATGTAGTTCAAAAGACTACAAAGAATTATGCAAAAGAAGAAAAGGGGGTTTTAACATACAATTTGATCCTTTAAAGTTTGATTAAAAGTAAAAATGAGTATATAGATATTTTAAATGACATTTTCATAGCTTATTAAGTATGAAGTATACTGTATGTGTCTACATTATAGGGTATTACATGGTTATAATGTCTTGTATAACATTATATTGTCTTATATATTGCCACACTATGTTGAAAGAAGTTTTTAACAAGTTATATTGAAAAGGTATTAAAGTAAATTTGAAGAGAAACAGAATTAGTAAATTACTGAAAACCATCAAGTCATTACTAAACTTAATTGCAAAAATGAGTCTAAACTACCTATCACTATTTAGAGAAATAAAATATTTCTCTGAAGCAAAGCACTTGTAAAAGCAAAATGACTCACAGAAAGCTGTCCATTTAGATGAAAGTTTTAATTTAAAATTGTACATAATTGTACATTTTGTATTTCTTTTATTTTGAGTTCTCTTGGTCAAGGCTATGTACTGAATGGCCAGCAGTATTTGCAGCAAGTAATAGAATTTTTCTAAATATGGTATTTTAGTTTTGGAAAAATAAAGGCAGTCAATTAGAAGGACAATGTAATCAAGGAAAGAGGGTTTATTTAATAGTTTTTTTGGTAGTATTTATTTTCTGCTTGTCCAAGTTTAAAATTTCCCCCTTGAAGTGTATTAGAATTGTAACAGGATTATCTTCTGCAGGACCAAATTGTTGGTGGTGACTCAAGATTAGTTTGCTCCTGAAGCCAAATCATTTATTGATGTCTTGGAAGTCAGAGCTGCATACACAAAGAAGAAGCAAGTCTGAATGCTAGAAAAATATACTATATCATATCCCATATTTCAACTGTTTGCTTCTCCACCTCATCAATTAACCGATTTTTGTTTGTATTTTCCAGTTTACTTTGTTCAACCTCAGAGTCACTCTGGAAAGCATATAATTGAATAGTTCTTATCTGAATAGGTCAGAACAGCACAGTACAGAGTACAGTACAGAGTAGAGTTTAAGCAATTAGGTATTATGAGACATTGCATAGAGATTATTCTATCTTACTTTTTTAAATTGCTCTGCAAGAGACAGATGAAGCTTTACCTACTCTGATATCAAAGTAGAATTAGAGAGAACAAACACATTAGAGGACAGCTTAAAAGAAAAGTTAGTAAGGATTACAGCAAGAAAATACTTTTTGTATTTGCCACTGCTGCTCCCAGGCAGAAAGATTAAACTAGTCCTGAATTGATATAAGAGAATTTATAACACCTGCCTATGATGCCCCTTTTCATTCAATTTTGACATGACCATTTTGACTTTGTCTATTTTGACCTATGAATTTATTACATCGACTTCTTCTAAACATCCACAAGAAAACACTGATTTTCTTTTTCCTTTTCTGTTATTCCCACCTTTGCTTTTCTTAGTGGTTCCTGTCTTTTTTTGTTTTAATAAGGATTAAAAACTGCCTTTGTTCCATTTTTAGAACATCACAATACAATGTAGTGTATGTAACTACTACATACTACTATGCATAAATTATTGTGTCCTACAGGTTGAGGATTCTCATCTTCCATCACTGGCATTTTTTCAGGAAGTGTATTAATTTGCACGAATTTTATTTTTATATATGTGTATGTGTATGTGTGTATACGAACTCTAAAATATAAACATATACTAAACCTAACAATATTTGCCAGACCAAAAACACTGATTGTGCCTCTTCTCATGAGGACCAGTTCTAGAACAAAAAGATTTCAGTCCCAAGGGCATGCAATACATCATTTCTCTCAATTACTAATCTTAATTTTAAAAAGATGAACAGTGAAATACAGAGAGTCTTGCTATATTGAAAGCAAAAAGTAGAGAATTGGCAGTGTAGTCAGTTCTCGGAAAAACCTTTCCAATTTTAAATCACAGAAAGGAAAGCCAAAAGAACTAACATGACTATTTATCTCATTTGAAAATTGTCACAAACCTAATTGCAATCTCATGCTTTGAGAACAGCATTTAGAAAAAAAGTTATGAAGGCATATGAACAAACTCTATAACATTATTTACAAGAAAAAATTGAACTAGAAGACTTGATTCTATGTCACTTCTCATCAATATCTGTTACTATAATTAGAAAATCAGTCATCATATTTACAAAAAAAAACATAAAGAAATGCCACTCAGCAATATTCAGCAAAATCATAACAAAGGAGAGTATTATTTTTTTTTTTGGGAGGGGGGGTGGGGGTGGAGAAGGAAAAAAAAAAAACAACAAACCCCCCAACCTTGTGTACTTAATTAAAAGAAAGTGAGTTATTTATAATGACAAAACTGCAATATACATAGAAATAATATTGCGGAATAATGGCTGAAAAGACAAGGTTAGATGAAGTGCACATTTAATATGCAAACACAGATTTTAGTATGAGTAAAATTGAAAGGACTACACTATGAAACCAGCTGATGGTTACAGTTCATGTAGTATCACCAAGTTGAAAAAAGTTTGAAAGTCATTCTGGAAAACATACTGATGAAATTGCTTTCTCATGCCCGGTCAGGGATACCATTGTCCACCCAGAACTGGGAGAAACTTCTCATCTATTTGTCTGCTCCTTAAGAAGGAAGAAGACTCTGTTGATTCTGTTACTTCAGGAATGGGGCAAGGTCACAGGAGATGTACATTATAGTGCGTATTATCGTTCAACACATCTTAATTTCATGTTGCCAGACCCCATTGTATTGTGTTGTAGTAGTTGCCAGAAATTCATGACTTAATGAGGAATTACTTTGCAGTCAATATTAACTACACCAAGATCAGCAAATTGATAAGTTCTCAAAAGCTGGATAAATCCAGAAGAAAGATACAAGAGAAACACAATATTAACATGTTCCAAGATGGGACAGAGAACACTAACATCACTTGAATTTAGAAAGAGTAATAAATAGGTGAAATATTTCCTATGGGCATGCACTGTAATGACAGCGGCCAATTTATGAGTCTTAATTCGATTTATAAACTTCCACAAAAATACACTAAACATAAATTATAAATAATAAATTATAAATTATAGTTTATTAAACACTGTGGCAGCAAAGGGATTAGGTTAAAATAAAGTTACTAGAATTAACCACAGTTCTTCCTTTTTTCTGTCTGATTCCTCTTTCTCTTTAAAGTCCATTGCAGAAAAACGACTCACTAAATTCCTGGTTATTAATTTAAAACTTGATTTATAAAAGCTGTTCTTGTACAAAAAAGGTTATTTTCATTCCGTGATAAAAAAACTGGCCAAATCCTCAAGAAAAAACATGTCCTATTTTCTCCACGGGAAGTTTAACAAAAGACATCAAAAGGCTTTCCATTCTGAAGTAGACTGATGGAAACACTGGGTGATACACTAAAGATAGAGAGTTCCTTAAAGAGAGGATGCTTGGATCTCTTGGGTTATACACAATAAACAGACCTTTTCATGCCTCTCTCTGACCTTGCAGGGTTGGTCCTTTCCTCACAAGATTTCTTTCCTGCCTATCAAATTTCAGCAGCATCCTGAGCTATAGGCGGAATCTATGGTAGGTAGCTGTAGGTAACCCCTGAGGGCTGACTGTGGCACTGCAATGGGAGGCTGCATGTCCCAGCCCAGGGGTAATGTCCTTTACTGTCCCACTGGGCCTCCAGAAGCTGCTCCCAGTTCAGCATATCTGTTTGCTCTCAGATAGAAGATTTTCCCCCTAGTTTGGAGGACAGCAGAAAATAAATATGCTGCTCCCTTCTCATAGTCATTTTTAAGCAGAACATGCTATGCAGAACATGCCATACAAAAAAAAAACCCTAAGCAGTTGTACTGTCCGTTACTATATCCTTGTTCATATCTCCATATTCCACATCCTCCAACCACATACATCAGGCAATAGTATTGGGCAATTGAATACTGTTTAGTTAGTGCACAAATTTGCAGATTTGGTGCTCTTGTATTGCAGAGAACAGCTTGCCAGCTCTTCTTCGTGTATCAGGTTTTCTGATTTGTATTTCTCCAAATACTAATTAGCTAGCCTAACTGCTCTCAGGAATGGTGCTCAGTTTAACCTCATTTTTGCTTACTTTCATGATTACTATCAATGTCTTAAGGAGTCAGATCTCCGCCTACTGTATGGAGGAAACAAAACATTTAGAGGGCATTCTGGTAAGTTAAATCTTTATGAATGGAAAGGTCATGATTCTAGTAGACATAAAAAACATATCTGAAACAATTTCAGAACTGTTACTGGTTACCTTTAAAAACTCTGAAAGGATAAACAAAGTACCAGAAGATTAGAAAAATCTAAGCACAAAAGGAATATATGTCAATGATGCCACATCTTTGAAAAAAAAAAAAAGAAAAAGAAGAAAAGCAAATAATACATATATAAGATGATGTTATAGCAGTAATGACATACAGGTAAGTCTTAACAGGAACAGCATACTTAGTTTTGGACACTGCACTTAAAGAAATATTAAGTGAAGAATCCAAATAAGAAGAGCAAATAAGTTGGACATGACTGCAGTTTGTGCAGTTTAAAACACAGTTAATGCATTGTTCGGATGCTATGGAGATATGTAGAGTGCATAGATATTCAAACTTAATACTTTACAAAACGTAAGCTTACACTTCTGAATAATGGTTATCAGCTATTTTATTATATAAAATTATTATTTAAATGAATATATTTAAATACTTTATTTAATTGATTGTTATTTATATTAACGTAACATTAAATTATTTTATAACAATAAAATAATTTTATAAATATTTTATTTTCAGTACAGATTTTTTTTCTTTCTGTCAGTTAAAGAGTACTTGAAAAAAGTCAGGAATCAGCAAATTCCTGTGACGATGACTTCACTCCCTGTTTTTTTCAAGTAAATTTAGAGAAATTAAAGAGACTTCAGTGGGATCATGAGATCAAGCATGCAAACAATCTTTCCTTCTGAAATACTGTTTTAGACTTTACCTCATTCCAGCTCTTTTCATCATTACACATTGAGCATTCTGAACTGATTTTTCTGTGTGGTTGCTGTTAGATTGTTTTGCCTGAATATAGCATTTTTAAGAATACTCAAAATGAGTTGGGTGGCAGTGGCTCTCTTAGCATTAAATTCTCAGTGCCACATGGTGGAGTAAGAAGCACACAGAAGTTACATTCAAAAAATGATCCAAAGGAGAAGTTGAACAGCACATACTTAACTCCTCTTTCTTTCTGTCATTTTCTGAATAAACTAAACTGTTCATTTCACTTAAAAAGAGGATCTAAATATAATTTTGTTTAATCAGATTCATTTCTGATCAGCTGAACCAAAGATTATTCCTCTTATCAATGCTCTAAATGGATTTGAATTTTTGAAGCAAACACTCAGAGCTCCCAAACTCTCAGCAGCTTACTCATTGTAAATTCTCCCATATGTTCTTTTAGAAATGCAATACATACTGCCGAACAGTTTGCTAAATTCCTCACAATGAATAAACTGACCCCTGCCCAGAAACCAACATCATGACTGAAAGACTTCCCTTCCAGCTGTGCAGACACTATTGTAGGGTATCTTACATGAATGAACTGTTTTCAGCTCTACAAAACAGCTGTGCCAGCAGAAGCTCCACAGGAGCTTGTTTTGTGCCTATTTTGCCACGGACTGGCATGGCCATTCACTAAAGGAATGACTCAGTATATTTACTCTCCTAAAATTGATTGTTTATTCACTTTCCCTCTAAGGATTTTGAAGAACTTCACAACTGAACTTCAGAGAACTTCAATATTTGCATTAAATCTGTTCAGTTGTTAATTAAGTTTTTTTCATTATGTCCCACTGGCATCTTAAAATAAAAACATGAAAAGGAAAAACTCTGCAGCCTATATGCGGATTTTCCCACAGTGGATATAGTATAATAAAGTGAATTTGACATCAGCCAATAAAATCTCAATAACAAAAACAAGTTTTGCAAAAGCACTGTGCTGAAATTTTCCCATGAAAGTGTGCTAATTAAGGTTGGTTGAGTTTTGTGTTGCTTCAGTTGTTGAAGTTCTGAATTACTTCCTTCTACACAGTCTGCAATCATTGCCAATATCATTTCTGAGGACGCACATAAACCAGATGCGTCCATGGGATACAGGAAGCACCACTGAAAATTGCTACCATGTGAAGGTTCAAATAAACTAGAAAAAACCCACATTTTCCAATCAATTTTTTCTTGTGTATTGGAGTCATATAATTACAAGACGAGAAATTCAGCTGTTACATCTTTAACAAATGCTGATTTTTATCTTATTTAATAAAAAAAATTGTTTACATTATTCATATTTCAAGGAAGGAAAAAATAATTCAGAAGAGTCAACTGATAGCTAACAGCTTCGGAATCAAACTGAAACAATAATTCAACTGAAACCTCTTATACTGATGTAAGTTAGAAACAAATAAACTAGAATGAGTTTCAAAAAAAGACAACACAAATATGATCCTATTTTCTAAATATAACTTCTTAATTCATGTACACACACATAAAAATATCTGCATATACCTACAAACACACATACACTAGAAAAGCAACTGAAAGGTACATCTATCTATATTTTAATTCAAAAGACACAGAAACCTTTATTTTTAAAGGAGAGAAAACATGATTTTCAAGGTTAAATATATTCAGCTCTGAATATATTTAAGATCGTCTAAGCTACTCTGTACAAGGCACTCATTTTTAGAATGATTTAAAACTCTACAGGCATGCCATAATAAACACAATTGAATGTCCTTTCTAAAATCATTATAAAGCATTCATTTTCAAATTCCCTGTAGTCTTTTTTTGTTGGTCTGTTTGTTTGTTTACTTTTGTAATCTGACTTCCCAAACTGATGTGGAATTTACAGAAAAGTTGCTGTACATAAGATTGTAAACTATTAATAATTTCATACCAGAGATGTTTGGTTTTACTTGATTTTTAGTACAATTTTATTTACAATCTTAATGCTGAGGTAAAGCAGATGTTATAGAAGAAAGAATGAAAAAGTAAAAATGAGAGTTAGATGTACATTTTTATTTCAAAGGCTCAATAAACCATTTCTAAATAATGGGAAAAGCTGTTTCCATTAAACTTACAGGAGCTGTAAAAATTGAAATATAAGTACATTTATGTGCACATCATGAAATAATTAAAAATGTTGTCTATATTCCAATAATTTAGTAACAATTCCTAGGTCACGTAACCAACTTTGTAAAAGAGCCATCTAAGTGTAGTGAAGATGACGAATTTCTTCTTTCTAGGATGAGAACTGGATTTTAAAGGGTCACATTGTTTATCTTTGTCATTTTAAACTACTGCATGGTCTTCCATGACATTTATAGTTCTTTACATCTTCTGGACAGGTATATAATACAAATCAGAAAGAAAATATTACTTTATTAGAAGATTAGCTTGAACTTCTCAAAGTAATCCTACCTAAAATTTACTTGCACTTTCATACTGATCATGTTCCAAATCCCCATTATTAATATGAGGCTGAGGGACAACCAAACACTCTTTGGTTGATTGAGAAAACCAGTAAGCACATCAGTTCAACCTGAATTAACCTACCTGTGCTTCCTGAGGGACTTGTGCTGCATCAACTCTGTCTGCAGTGTAGGCTGTTAGCTGTTTGTCAATAACGGTGAGAGACTCTTGGATTAAGCGGAGGGTTTTGTCGGTCTCCTGGGCAGACTGAATGCTCTGTTCAAGACTCTTTTGTCTTCTCACAGCCTAAAAGCAATGACAATGTTATCAATATTTACAGTAACAATACATATAACACATTTTTTCCATCATTTTTTTTTCTCCAGAAAATGTTAAGAATCAAAAATAGTACTCGTGACTTGTGCTCATCCACCTTTTTGTACGATAAGTTGCGCATCTTTTTGCCACCCATTCAGTCCTTTTTACTAAGAAACAAACAAACAAAACCTCAGATTGCACATATAAGTTTTAAAAAATCTAGGACCCTGAAAAATCAATGCATGTGTTGAGGTTTTCTACACAGAGTGAAAGTTGGCAAAGCTGCATAATAAAACCATCCTGATAGTGCAGTCTTTCATTCTGAGGCATAGCAGTCCTCCTGTTCTTATTATGTAATTCAGGAGATTTTGTTTACTAAGAATAGGGTTACTGTCATCACAATCCCATCCAAGACAATCCACTTCAGTAAGTGAGAGGGATAAAGACTCTTTTGAGAAGGAGCTCTTATATGGAGTATAAATAGCTGTCTGGAAGAGAGGCAATGACTACTCTTGGAAAAAGAAGAGATGGGTTCTTGTCTTCTCTTGCCTGTGGACTTGCCCAATCTACTATCACTCTAATTGTAATCTCTTGTAGCCTAGGAAACTGACACTTGCTTCTACTCTTCTACCACCAGCGCCACAGTGGATTGCCTACCATCACCTTTTACACAATCCTTTTTCTGAGAAGGATGTTTTCCTTTCACAGAAGTTCACTTTATGGTCTACCAAATCAGAGCAATAAATTCTCCTTCCAAATTTTCCTTAAAATATACATATATTTAAACACTTGACGTAAACGGGTTAGCTTTAACTATTATTTGTAACAGTTTAATATGGTATATACTGGGTAGTAAATAACCTGGTACTTTCTTCCATCTGTCATTATGTTCACCTGCGGACTCATATATTACTTAGACTACAGCTTCTACTTAAAAGAGTTTCTGCATTGTACAAAGCACATAAATAATTACCAACAATCTCAAACACGATACAGTTTTTCTCTGCACAAGCCCAGCCATTCTGCTGACCACAGAATAAAGTGACTAACTTTCTCTGACATGAATCAAAGGAGGAGGCAGAAAGCAAGCACCCTTTAAATAACGTTGTTAGGTGTCCTGCCATTTTTCAAGTCAAATCACACTTCTTATCTCTGGTGAGCCAGGTACACTTTAATCTGATTTCATACTTATTATAAAATTCTTGCCTTAAAACAAAAATATCTCTCAACAATTCAGTGAGAATTTGATATATCAGTATCTTCTTCATGAAGCTCAGATTCTTATAGAGCTTCACATTTAAAAAATGAAAAAGATTATTTCTTGTGAACATTCTTTCTAGCTGTTTGACTTAGTAAAAGGATAGGCATCCAGCCAGTATTTACTATATTTGTGTTTGTAAGCTGCTTTGTGCTATTTTAAAACAGCTCATCAGATAATCTTGTATCACTGCCAGTTACAAGAACCTTCTGTGGAACTGAGCAGCTTTACATATCAGACCCACGCTGCCAGTGTTAATGGAAGCACCTGAATAACTAAGGTTTATTACTCTACCAAACGAACCATTAAAACAGTATAACTTCACAGTACGGTACAAAGGCTTTCTACTTAAATTACTTTGACCGTCATCTGATTTGATATTTTATATTACAATGTTCTCAGCCTGTTCAAAGCAGTGGGGTTAAAAACCACAGCTTCCATTTACTTTGGCACTCCATACTACTAATCTGTAAGCCTGGGTAAGATACAGTCACCCTCTACCTCTCCATTTGCATCACTACACAGTAGATTGAAAGACACTTTAGATCATAAACAAGGTAAGTAGCTTTCTACAGCCCACGAGTACGGGCATCCTCCTGGAAGCATGGAAAAAAATCTCTCTGCCTTTACCAGTCTCTTTGGACAACTGGTAGGCGTAACCTATATGCACAGTCCATTCACACTTAGGGCTGCAGTGTCCTGATGTTCAGAAAAGCTCACCATTCAAAATAAGACACTGAGAATGTTCCCTTCTTATTAGTCATTAAAATAAGTGCCTGCACTTTCTGGATAATACAATATACTGGACACAAATTTGGTTCTAAGTCCTTCTGAAAAACTACTTCTATAGCAATGCTTGAAGCTTTGAACCGTCATTAAATGCTGACCCAAGCTAATTATTATTTGCAGCTGGGCAATTGCTTAAGTACAGATAAATTTGCTGCCAGTCTCAGAAGCAGCCTGCATTCATGCAGCAAAGTAGTTATCACTGCATGGAAATTCACAAAAAGTCTTAAAATTGTATGACAAATACATGGTGATTGAAAAATCGTCATCTCTGTGCTGATATCAGCAGAAACTATGTATATTATAATCCTGTTTTACAATATAACTGGAAAAATTAGAATACTCTCAAACTCATTGATCAAACATTAAAGCAGATAAAGTTAAGAAGAACTGCAACAAATCCTTGCCTGAGTCTGACTGACATTTTATGGTTGGATTCAAACAAATATGAAGTCAGATAAATGTATATGCATGCTTGTGATGTCTTTATGTGCACACAAAGCAAGTATTTACACACACAAAGACAAAACATTCCCCTTTCATTGTCCTCAGAAGGATTTGATTACAGCCTAAGAACCTGTGTGAAGTTTTGTATCTTCCAAGAGAGGCAAAAGTACATCTTTTCCAAAAATTGTGAAAGTTTAGATGGATGAATGGATGATATCAGACCAAGACATGAATGCAGTGGTACAACAGAGGAATTATTTTAGTGGTGGGAGCAGAACCACATAGTTGAATGCTGGGAAATGGCACTTTCAGAGTTGTGATGATTTTCTCAGATATAAATGGGTACTGCTTTATTTTTTTTGTCTCTACTGTTTACTGGGAACAATGTCTTTGGCTCTATTGCTTACTCTACTCTGACCCTGTTCAATTTACACAACAAATGCAACAAAAAAGTCTTCACAGTGATCTTATAAAAGGTACAATACACTCCTGCAATGTAAGATACTTCTCCAGTACGCAACAGCTGGAGACTCGAAAACCTAATCCTGTTCACTAAGTAGGTCCCTGGCACTATCACTGGAATTCTAGAATATTTATCAATTCAATCAGGGGAAATGCCGCAATATGGAGGATTCCTCTTCCTCTCTTTCAGTAGAAAAGAGAGTTACTGGTGGAGGTAAGCATTAGAGAGCTTTACAAAAAGGGGCAGACATACTACATGCTTACGTTTGTGAACCTGAGCTTCAAATTTTCCTTAAAACTCCTATGTCTGTACATGTGAAAATCTAGATATGAATATTTTTAAAAGACGTGAAAATTGAAATTTTATATATCTATGAAATAAAAATATTTTAATTTATGTTGTTGTGTTTTGTGGGGTTTTGATTTGGGTTTTGTTTTGGTTTTTGTTTAGGTTTGTTTGTTTTTTTTCCTCTGAAAGTTTACAGTTTTTCTCTTCCTCTGTGGAAGAAATAGATGGTTTAACATTGCAGTGTATAAATGGGTCTGAAAACTTTAACAGGAAGCTCTGGCTATGTGATAAGATCATTGTCAATAAAGCTGAAGGCTTTGGTCTCTAAAAGGAAGTGTCTGACAGTTAATTGCTAAATAGGAAATCTCAGGAAAATAACCAGCTCTTTAATTATTTCTGAGCCAGTGAAATGTTGACAGCTGTCAAGGAAAATAAAAACAGACAAAAAATCAGCTGTTGAGCACTATTGGAATGAAAGAGAAAAGAAAAAATATTTACGGACTGAATTTTTTATTAAAATCACTACAGGTTTTTATAGATTTTTAGGGTTTTTTATGATTAAGTATAACATTTAAATTTTATGATATGGAGTATTACATAAATCTGTTTACAATTTAACGAAGATCAATGGTAAATGCAGGAAATTGTAACTGCATATTATCCATGTAAAAATGCCATATTAAGGGAAAGGCTGCACTGAGAGGAGATCAAATATCATGAAAGCTGGAGGTGCTCAAGCAGTTGCTTATGATTATAGCTCATTCTTTGATGTTGAATGTTATAAAGGTATATTTATAGATATCGCCAGTTTTTCCTTAAATAATACATATCGTGTCTTCAATGACATTAGTCACACATGCAGTTACCAAGATGTTGGCTAGAGTTTTATGGCTGAAACCAAGTGGAGTTTTGTTTTTGAGGCAGTACTCAGTAATTGTGCTGTGGGAGAAAACCAGAACAAAACTTTTCAAAAAGTAAAGTACTTTTACTACAGGATATATTTATTTAAAATGCAGAAGCAAATTCATTAATTAGCTTATCAGCTACAGCTCATGGAGAGGAGTATGTTAAGAAAGGCAGAAATATGTTAGTTCTTTTTTTGGTCTCAGTTATACTCTTTAATTATTGAGAAATGTTACTGCAGGATAAAGTTAAAAAGTTAAATTTAGAAAACTTTAACTTCAAAATCATTCTTAACTCGTTTAAATTATTTTAAAATTTAACCTAATTCTTGGTGTTACGATGGTTGTGTCTGAGATATATTACAACATCTCTGTATGTTTTGTACTAAATTGTTAATGTGTTAATCTCTGCTTTTTCTTTGGAATCAGAGTGCATTAGTGTTTAGACTTAAGCTACAAACACCTTTTCTAACATTCAAAGCATTTGTTTTGAGCCCAGGAATTTTTAATACCCTCCAAGCCTCAACTAATTTTTCTGCAATTTCTAGTAATATTTCACACTGTGTTTTTAAAGTAAGTGGCTACAAATATTTGACCTTTCAGTGATAAAAAGATATTCATCTTTGATCAACTGCATTCCAAAACTACAAACTATACCATGGAAGACTTCTTTATCTCTTTAGGTTATCACTGCAGACAGATAGAGCCTCAGAACTTGTAAAAGCAGGCCTCTTAGCAGCTTTCAAAGCAATCACATGGAGACAGGGCATGAAGAACTCTTTCTCCTCTTGAGAGGAGAAAAAACAGAAAAATTGTGTCAAATGATGAATGTGAGCTCTTCGAAAGAAACAAAGGGTAATCTTGAGGGGAGTTCTAAAAAATTAACAGATAGACCCCAAGAATAAAAATTGAATCTAGTGTAAAGCCCATCTGAACAATAATGCTTTATACAGTTTTTTGCAAGCATAGTCTCAAGAATACCTAGCTGACGTTTTTTAAGTTTGCTGGAC